AATATCCATAATAGTTACTATGCAACGTTATATTCATAATAGCTATACTATGCAAAGTGTAATATCCATAATAGTTACTTTGCAAATTGTAATATTTATAATAGCTATACTATGCAAAGTGCAATATCCATATAATAGTTACTATGCAAAGCGTAATATCCTTACTACGTACTTTGCAAAGTGTAATATCCTTATAGTTACTGTGCAAAGTGTAATATCCTTACTACGTACTTTATACTATGCAAAGTGTAATATCCATAATAGTTACTTTGCAAATTGTAATATTTATAATAGCTATACTATGCAAAGTGTAATATCCTTATAGTTACTGTGCAAAGTGTAATATCCTTACTACGTACTTTGCAAAGTGTAATATCCTTACAGTTACTGTGCAAAGTGCTATATATCCACAATAGTTACAATACATACAACCTTTTTATCCATTTTGTATATTGTGCATCGTTAAAGTCATATACATACAGTAATAACCAGAAAACATTGGAATACGAAGGCGACATTATAGCACAACTTTTGTGTATTTAACGTTGTGTGTCTGTTTACACTGCAAAATAGCTGTTTCTCAAGCTCATTGAACTTTTAAAAGTTATAATTTGATTTTAAAAGTCGTCTTCCCATTTCAGAGTTTTCTTGTCATCACTGTAAATCAATTTAAAACTATTTTCTTTTTTTTTCTCTTATTTCTTTTTGTCTAAAACTGGACTAAACAATAATTACCCCTGAAATATGTTTTGTTAACTCAGTAATTGTCTCAAATTTAAGATAAACACTAAACATGAAAAGTGTTAAATAACCTGAATTTAAACTTTCTAGAAGTGTAAGTGGAAGTAACCCCCCCCCCCCTTAAAATTAATCAACAGTTGCGCCTCTGTCTGCAAAGAAATATTATTGAGTCTGTACATTGCTTGACTGGCTTGAAACAGAGTATCATATGTTATCCGCATTCGTACTTTTTGTACGCAATATTCTTGCATTAAATACACAGTGCGTATTATTGGGAGTTAATCAAGATATAAAGTATAAAGGACAAGGGGGACATAGTTTGTTTATGTACACGTACAACGATTAATTTATTTCATTTTCATATTTTTATTCAACTACAAAGCATGAGATATTACAAATAAGCAATCACAATTTACTACCCAGTTTGGACCCGCCTAACTAGGGTTGGTTGTTTTGAGTGGTTGGCCCAAAGTTAATTAACGACACTGAATATAATTGGTTACACATATCAAGTTTTGTTTTTGGATAGGTAAGGACTTGATTGGAAGGAAGGAGATTGTCAGGTGATCTGTGGCAGGGTGAGATCAGAGGGATTTGAATGTAGAAATAAATTAAAATACAGGGTGTTAAGGATGGTAGATACAGAAACAGAAATAAGCTAATAAAATTTCAGTTATTTTAGTTTTTTATATATAATATTTATTCACACGATATACAACTAGGTTTTTCACATTTAAACCTCTCATAATTCTCAAGATAAATATTGATTACTCTTTGTTAAAATAGTTTTTGCAGATTTAGTTACTAAATTTGAGGTCAATTTCAAGTGCATTCCACAATTTAGGAAACATTGCGGACGGAAATCTGTCTAATAATGAATAAACAACGATTGCACATGCCCGGTTTACCTTTAATAACCCTACCCAGGAAATTTCCTTGCTTTGTTTACAATCTCTGTTACAGTTTTGATTGTATAAAGTTTTTATCACGTCAGCATAAAATGTATACAAAATCCATTTTTTCCTTGCCTTAGATCTGTGCATGTTTGAGATAGTGAAAATCCCAATTTTTGTTTACAAAACAGAGGAATTGAGTCTTTGCTATAAACTCAAATTTATAATCCTAATATCTTTGCAGCCTGATAAATGATGATGATGTAAGCCTTTAATATTTCGAACTTCTATTATTTATTTAATCTATAAAAGAACCTGTTTTTGCAAACAAAGATATTGGAGTTTCTTTATCATTCATCCCAGAACCTGTTTTTGTAAACAAATATACTGTGGTTTCTAATTTTAACTTTTTTATTAAAAAGTTTTATATTTCTCAAACGAATTCTTAATAATTTCTCCATAATTCTACATTCTCAGTTCAACTACTATACAATGCCGGTCACTTCCTTTATAAAGATTTAACTAACTGTTTATTCTAATCTATGTTTATATAAATAAAACAGTGGTTGGCATATATTTCAATGCAATGAAGACAACTTTTCTTCAAAAATTCTTTCAAATTAAAAGTTTACAAGTAAGCAAAGAGAAGCTATTAATTGACAAGAAATAAATAAATAAAGAGTCTTTCTGTTCTTCTTTATTAGTGAATTCTATACTCAGTATTTAAAATTGAGGGTATAATTAGAATGTTTATTTTAGTATACGCTGTAACGTGCAACGAGCGGGTGAAGGCACACCATGCACTACTTTATCGTCCGCACCATAAATGACGTCACAACTCAACCATTGTTCTCCTGATCACACCTTTCTTTCGTCCGTGCGAATTTCTTCTGTGCTTTCAAATATTTTTTTTCAAAATCATTTATGTTATGTTAATTATGTTATTTAATATGGGTTCATTTTGTTTAAAATACAATTTGTTAAAAAAATAAACGATATTTTAGCCAAATTTAGCAAACAACGGACGGATAATGAAATATATTTCCATCATGAATTGTTCTATACCTACACTGTGCTTTCATAGCATGTTCTTCTTTAAAACAAAACAAAAAAACAGAATCAAATATTCAAAACCATTGTAAACAATAGAAGTACTAAAAAAAGAATTTTAACAATGCCGGACGAAATAATAATGAATTTTGACGTCATTTGAGGTATAGGACAAAAAAAAGGGGTATGATTATCATTTTTGAGGTTATAATTGTTAATTGTTATTACCATTATCATTATAATTAGTTTTATTGTAATTATCATTATTATCATTAGTGATACTATTATTATTATCACTATTATTTTCATGATATCATTATTGTTTTAATTTCTAGAAGGATTTTTGAGAAATCAGCTCTTTGCTTAAATGCTCTTAGGTAACATAAAATTTAACAAGTGTGAAACAATATTTTTTATTGGTGTGTACAATTAGTATTAGCTTAGATATAGTCGGATGGGCTTTTTTTTGCTTTTACCTGTGTTGACAAAAGTGCATTATATCATATTTGTTTCTATTATTTTTATCTAAGTATCAGTATATGCGCAGGTATTATTGAGTACATAATGGTAGGAACACATAATGCTGAGTTCGCTATGATAGGATAGTGATACAGAGATACGGTTTAGGATGTAGGGAACAAAGAAAGGGGGATTGATTTTGCGCAAATTTTTCTGTGACTTGTTTGGACAACTTTGCAACTAGATTTAGTGCGAATAAACCACAATTAATAGTAAAAATATGTAATAAATTGAATATATACCATTTTATCTAAAAAGATCGAGTGCACATTGGTTCCACAGTCTTTCATTTTTAAACGATAGATATTTTAAACTAATCAGGGGCATTTACAAGACTTTTTCAATGAGGAAGGGGGGCAGGGGCGTATTCAGAAATTTTTCTAGGGGCTTACATTTTTTCTAAGGGGGCTCACCATCCATAGGATCCCAAAAACTTCCTAAAAACCCATAGATTTCAATGAAACGCCTTTGACTAGTCTATACCATACCCCCCGCCCACCCTGTAATCATAGAGGTAAATGTAATTGTATTCTTTGTATATACTCAGATAGCATGTAAGTGGTAAATAAGGTGAAAGGGTACGCTTTTCAGACGATACTATTCTCTACATTCTTGCGTAAGTAACCACTTGCGCATTAGGCATTTTTCTACGTCTTTAGCCATTAGGTCTACGTCTAGGGAGGATTAGGATTAGGGAAAGGGTAAGGGTTTAATCGAGGTAGGATTAGGAAATAACTTTATAAATCAAATCCAACATTTTCAGATAAAAAACTGTATTTATAAAGGTCGTTAAATTAAATGAATAATGCCAAGTTTGAAATTCAAAATGGCCGAACTGAAAAGAGAAATCCGTCGTCTCAATCTTTTCCATAGACAGGAATAAAACAGACAAGACAGACAAGACAGACAAGACAGACAAGACAGACAAGACAGACAAGACAGACAAGACAGACAAGACAGACAAGACAGACAAGACAGACAAGACAGACAAGACATACAAGACAGACAAGACAGACAAGACAGACAAGACAGACAAGACAGACAAGACAGACAAGACAGACAAGACAGACAAGACAGACAAAAAAATGTCTGTTTATCAGTTTGAGGAAGATGATGGCTTCTGGCTTCTTATTCAAAGGTAGCAAAAATATTAAAAAATTTATAATTAATCTTTTTGTTTCTGACCTATTGGCTTACGTAAATAAAAAAAAATAAGATAAAAGAGTTCACAGATTTTCCAGTTTTCATTTGCGGAATTCGAAAATTTGAAAAAATCTAAATTATTATAAGGTTATTGGCCGGCAATAAACTTTCGTGGCCGTTGAGTCATAAGAATTGCCATTGCAATAAAAAATAGATCTAATATGGCCTATAGGCCTGATCGGTTCCGCTGTTTTGTCGTTTATTGGAAACAAACAAACAGTCAAGCAAAATGAAATATTAAGAAAAATTGGAAAATAATTTTTAAATACTCTGGCAAAAAAAACATCTTTTATTTTTGTTCAGGGATAAGATGACCCGTGTTGAGGGAGCTCCCTGTATTCCTGACTCTCTAGCCTACAATATGAATCAGGAACAATATATTTATAGGTTAGTACCTAGAAAAATATATCAATAATTCCATTATCTTAAGCATGTTTTTTTTCCTTAGGATTTTTGGAAGAATAATCGAATCTGGAACTATCAAGGATGGAGACAGCTTTCTGGATATTTTGTAGTATTATTATTATTATTATTATTATTACTATTATTATTATTATTATTATTATTATTACTATTACTATAATTATTATTTAGATGTATGTCTGCTGTTCAAGAGTTCTACAGAAAGATCCCCCGGGTACATGCTCTAGACATTGCGTTCTGTCTTTGCAAGTAAGTTTTCGATTTCCCCTCTCTGTAAAAATATAAATAAATCCCTTTTATCAATTAAAAAAACATTAAAAAGAAGCAAATATTTAAAAGAAATGTACTTCAAAGTTTTCACAAAAAAATAATGATAAAAATTCGGTGGAATTTTAAAGTGTCCTATTTAATATTAGTATTTAAAAAAATATTCTGATGTTTTGAAAAAATTATAACTATCAAATTTTGTAAAAATTGTTTAAATATCAAAAAATATTACTCCGAAACTTTTGATAAAAGTTTTATCTAGAAAAAGACACAAAAAATCCGGTTTACATGTTTTCTTTTATTATCCCCGAGTAGTACCCTTTCCAGTATCCAAAAAAAAGAAAAAATATATTGTTCCAAAAAACTTAAAATTTTAACCCTTTTTTTTGACCATTTTACGGATTGTTGACAACGCTTTATGACTACTTTGGCTGCTACCTCTGTTTAACCTAATGCACTGTTTAAATATGATGTTTTAAACAAAAAAAAATCTTCAACGAAATAGCAATTTGTTTTACGTTACCCTAATTAGAAAGCGTGCCTAGCAAATTTTTCAATTTTTTTTTCTTGAGAAATATTATCTTAAAAAATAGTTGTTTCCTGGAAAACATAAAAAAAAATGCTAAGAAAAATTTTGTCTGCATTGTTTTAGTAAAATCATTTACTTGAATAAAAAGTTCTGAGTATTTTAAAGAAAGATGTCTGCATTGAAAACATTTAATTCTGCAGTTTATTTGCTCCTAGGCACTTTACTATACATGTGAGCTCAGCTGTTATGAATAATCAGTTCAACTTCCAGTAAGCGGCTCAACTCATTAACTAACAATATACCATAGAGTCTAAATTCTCATTCAGGGATTTTTTCTTTGACATTTTTATAATTTATACAATTATCCACTTGAGCACTCCTTATATACTATCATACACTTAAACACCCCTGAAATACTGATATACACTTAAACACCCCTGAAATACCGTTATCCACTTCACAACATCCCTGACATCTCGGTTTTTATCAATTTAAAACTGATTTTTAAAATTAGACCCTTTGTCCCCTTAATGAGACAATTTAGACAATGTCACCGTGTGATTTTTATCCAGGAAATATTAAAGGGAGTGTTCTTGAAAAATGAAAGAGTAAAGGTTGAAATAAAATTGAATCGATATCGTTCTTCCCAAATAGATTATTAAGTACTAGAATCTGTTTGGTTTATCCTATATACTCCCTTTTATTCTTCGGGGACACTTGCTTTTAATAGTTTTAGATTTGCTACTAACCTTAAAATTGTTACTTAGCCTTGAGAAATTCTTTATCATAAATAAACCATTTAACAAGTTTGATTTTCCATGTTTCTAACGTTTTAAAGTATGTACATAAGGGTAAACTGAAGGTAGAAAGGAAGGTTAAGTGTGAAAGGTGTCCAGGAAGAGGGGGAGGTTAAGTGTGAAAGGTGTAAGATAGAATTATATTAGTAGTAAAGGATTGACTAGGTTTGACTGGTGTATCTAGTATTAAACTATAATTACTCCCTATAGTACTCAACTCAACTCAATCAATTATAAGTAAAGAACATGGCTGCATGCAACTAAATCATTGGAATCCACCAATCTACATTGATTGGAACATTTTTAAACTTTATAGCCATTTTGGATTGATATACGGGGCCCTAAACACCCCATTTACTTAAAGGGACTGAAAGCTTAATTTCAAGGGTGAGAAGGAGCTATGACTGAATCAAAAATATACCTTTGTAACCTTCATCTGATCAATAATGTGGAAGATATTGCCGGTTTTCTAGATTTTGAATGTGTTAATTCTGATAATTTCTTTACATTTTCTATATGTATATGAGTAACTCCTTTATGGAGAAGCCACAATTGAAAAAAATTCAAAGTTATAAACATGGATATCTATTCCATACTTGATTCATCAGTTGTAATTATATGCTACTAATCCAATTATGTTTGCGGTGAAAATTGACCTGAATAATCATTAATTGAGATCCTTGTTAAACATAGTTTGTTGAGTGAAAGCTGACAAACATAAATATTCCTAGCTCAGCACCATCTGTTGGTTGTTTTAGGAAACAGAATGATGATCAATGTTTCCGCGCCCAGTCCCTGCTGCATCCTGTGTGCGCGCAGACCCCGGCCAGCTGGTCTGGTAGAGAAGAAGACCTTCCACTTTGCCACGACCTTTCAAACTCATGCAAGTAAGATCGTTTTCTCCAGATATAGGGGGTTTTATTAAACATGGACCTCAAAAGACGAGTTAAAGATTTTCGCTCATTTCCGATAATTAGCTTTGAGCTTTTTAAAATGTTGTTTATAATATTTGTGTCTGAAAGGTTTATAAAGATCTAAAGAATTATCTATCATGTATCAAATATTGTACAAACATTTCAACATCGTCCATACAGTTCTGATCAGAAGAGGTAAAATCAGAGATATTAAAATAAGGCCTAAAACTTACAAAAATTACATCTCTTTTTCCTTATTATTTATTTCTGAATATGCAATAAAAGTTTCAGAAAAGTGTTTTAGGAATGGATAGATTTGGGAACTATTTGGTCAAATATTTGGTATTAAATTACTAGACCACACTGTACTGCACTATAGATACGTTTAATGAAATATTGAATCAAACTTTACCATCTATTGAAATACAACATGCATTAATTGATTTAAATTATGTTTGCATCAAATCGATAAGTTGTCTAGTTGTATAATGTTCCAGTGCAAAGTTAACCTAATATGGAGTGTTAGATAGTTCTCTTAACTAATTGAACATTAAGGTTAATTTAAACTGAATGCTCGTTATAGTATTCAAAAAGGAACCACAAAACCTTTAATATATACTACAGTGGTTACCACAAACCTTTAATATATACTACAGTGGTTACCACAAAACCTTTGATATATACTACAGTGGTTACCACAAAACCTTTAATATTTACTACAGTGGTTACCAAAAACATTTAATATTTACTACAGTGATTGCCACAAAACCTTTAATATTTACTACAGTGAATACCACAAAACATTTAATATTTACTACAGTGGTTACCACAAACCTTTAATATATTTACTACAGTGGTTACCACAAAACATTTAATATTTACTACTGTGGTTAACAAAAAACATTCAATATTTGCTACAGTGGTTGCCACAAAACATTTAACATTTACTACAGTGGTTACCAAAAAACATTTAATATTTACTACAGTGTTTACCACAAACCTTTGATATTTACTACAGTGGTTACCACAAACCTTGAATATTTACTACAGTGGTTACCACAAAACATTTAATATTTACTACAGTGGTTACCACAAAACATTTAATATTTACTACAGTGGTTGCCACAAAACATTTAATATTTACTACAGTGGTTACCACAAAACAGTGGAAATATGGTCTTCTCCATACTTTTTTAATTATAAAATGAGGAATAAAATGGCAGGCTAGTCGATTCCTAAGAATGTTCCTTTCTGCACCTGACTTAAAGAATCTCAACCATCTAAAATAGTACATTTAAAACTCTTTCAAACTTTTTACAGGAGTTCTTCTGGGTGTGGAAGCAGACTTTTACGATATGAGCAGGCCTGCGCAGTAGACGCAAAAACGAAAACTTGCGCAGGGCCTTATGAAGGTTGCAGAAACGCAATGCTGGACATTTTAGGTAAGAGATATGAAAAATGTTGTAAATGTTGAAACCACAAGTAAATTGCTTGATATATACTAGTTGTTATGTTTATTATTCATCAATCAACATATTAGACACTTGCTCCGCGGGAACCAAGCTTTGGCTGGAAACTAGGTTTAACTTTATTTTTAATCAACCCAATCGAATAATTAAAGAAAAATGTAAAAATTGAATTTTGTTCTGTCTTATTGAGTTATGATTCTTGTTTTACAAGAAACACGTACATGTGTCTCACCCTGCCACACATTGTGGCAGAAAACGCGTTGGATGAAGAACATCCTGCGCACAGAAGACGGGCTGGTACCAGTAAATACTAGACCACTATCCTTGTATTGGTTCGGATTATGCAAAGATTGAACTCATGATGATATTTAGGGACTGAGCTTCGAACTAACTGTGGATGTGGAGGTCCTCTGGATTTTAGAAAACTTTTTGATTGCATTGGTTACCAGCGCTTACTGTGGATGAATCCGTGTATAGGTAATCCTTGATTATAATCCTTGAATAGATTATCCTTGAATAGATAATCCTTGATTAGATAATCCTTGAATAGGTAATCCTTCATCTCCATGTATATGTAATCTTAGATTCTAATCCTTGATTTAATCCTTAATTATAAACCTTGTATAGGTAACTTTTGATTATAATCCTTGAAAAGGTAATCTTTGTAAAGATAATCCTTGATTATAATCCTTGTATTGGTAATCCTTGATTACAATCCTTAAATAGCTAATCCTTAATTCTAATCATTGCATCTATGTAATCCTTGTATAGGTAATCCATGGTTTTAATCCTTGCATAGGTATTCCTTTTATAATCCTTGTATAGATAATCCTTAATTTCATTCCTTGCATAATTGATCCTCCATTACAATCCTTGTATAGTTAATCCTTGATTATAATCCTTGATTAAGATCATTGTAATGGTAATCCTTAATTATAATCAATTCATAAAAAATCTTCGCATAGATAATCCTTGTGTAAGTAATTTCAATTCTATAATTATACTCATAATATTATTCTTTATTTTAACCCTGGAATTGTAAATATTGATGGCCGTATCGTTTTTTGAATAGGTTTTAAACGTTTTTTTGTTACTATTTAGTAGTGATGGGTAATAGACATATTTGTTTACAGAAACTTGTTGTGATTTTAGACTTTTAAAAGGTTTTTATACTTTATGACAATATCACGCACATCTGCCCCTTTAGTAAAAGTAAATTTAACCTATACGACGCATAAAGTCTGACCGCGTCAACCTTGTTGCACCGGCTAGTCCTGTCCACAGAGCTAGGTACAGTATAAACTGTCACCGGAAAGGTTGACCCGGCTCGGAAATTTAAATGTACAACGGCTGCCCGTGATATGAGAAGGTTCCAACATTTTAAAACTTTATTCTGTAGAAGTTTGCTTGTATCAAACATGCAAATTATGTTACCCTAGATGAACATATCAGGCAAAAACTAACCCCAAAACCGGATGAAATTAAAACAATAGTTTTTCGGTTCGTGTTTGCCTAATATGTTCATATAGGATAACAAATTTGCATATTTGATAAAGCAAACTTCTACAGAATACAATTTCAAATCATTGGACCTCCTTTTCAGATTGTCGTAAAACCTTTTAAAAGTTTCTGTAACACGAATCTAGCTATTGCCCATCCCTACTTTCAAGACGCAAGACTATAATTGCATTTGTTAATCTTATGTATCTTGTATATCGCATAAGTTTCCTAAGCTATTTTATTGCACAAAATTTGACTTTGACTTATACAAAAGGCAATTTTCAAAATTAAAAGCAATAAATAAAATAATTTTGATAAATCTTTTTGTAAGTTTAATATCGGAGTACAATTTTTCCCAACATAATGAAAGCAAACTTAGAGAGAATTTTTGACCCTAATTGATTCCCATCCCTAATTGCAAATTGTTGTAAAGAATATTTGAACCTCTAAATAAATCACAATCTTGTATATAGAGTCCAGTTTACAAACTTTACAGTTTATTGTCCTATGTCCAATGTCCATACATGCCTCAAAGCCATTATTTATAATTTTTTTTCTATTTATCTATCTATCTATCTATCTTTCTAGTGGATGCTCAGAAGGACTACCATCTCCGGATAGGAAACACTGAAGGACCAGGTCCCGAGGAGTCCTGGAGCCCCCAGCCTGGTCCTATGTACACTGAACCACCCTACAGACCTGGTCCTATGTACACTGAACCACCCTACAGACCTCCTCCTCATCCGCCTCAAACTCCAGCACTCCCACTCGACACACCCAGACCCTTTATCCCGTATATAACCACAACTTCCACACCCTACAAGGCTCCACCCACTAAAAGACCACCACAGACACGCCCCCCAGGTAATTTTTTTCAACTATTTAGTTTTGTAAAGCTTGCATTGACGAACGACATTTTTTCGGATTTGAGTCTATACGCTTTCCTTTTCTGGCAAAATACCAATAATTTGTATTGAACCCGTTTTAAAACTGTCGGGGGGTGCCACCAACAATTTGTATTGAATCCCCTTGAAAACTGTCGGGGGGTGCCACCAACAATTTGTATTGAATCCCCTTGAAATATTGAACCAGTTTGAAAACTGTCGGGTGGGCCACCAACAAGTATTTAAAAGTTTCTGAGAAAAACATATCCATGCGAAATTTTTTAACTTTCCCTTTTATTTAAAAAAAAAGTATATTCGTCTTATATTTACTAATTTAATGATAAACTTTACAATGGAAAATAACTTAAAGACTCTAAATTCAAATTTAATCCAACTTTTTTCAAAAATTGTTATTTTTACGCTAAGACCCGATCGAAGTTACAGAATTAACTGAAGTTGTAACAGAGATTGTTACCACAACTGAGATGGTAACACAAGGTATACAGCGCTAGGATGATTTTTTTCGACGTTCACCTTCTTTCTTCAGAGTTATTTTCAAAATTTTAGGGAAAAAGACTTTTTCCGATACTGTTTCTTTCCCCCCAAGAGGCGCCCCTTTCAAACAAAAAACAATATATTTACAAAGTAAAAACAATCTCCCCCTCACCCACAAAAATCATCTTTATTGTTGCAAAAAAAATCATTTGCTTTCCAAAGATAAAATTCATAAAATATTTCTTAAGAACTCGTAGAGAAAAAAAACGTGCCATTAGAAATATCCCCCCCTCCCTATTTTCTTTATACCCCCCTCCTCTTTTCGTAAAAAAAGAAGATGCTCGGAGAATATTAGAAACGGCTTCACCGCACCTTGCAGCAGAGTACTTATCAAATATACACCCTGTAGTTAAAAATAGAAAATTGCAAGGGGAGTTTCGGACCATGGAGGGAGGGGGGGCGGAGGTGAGCGCTATTTTAAGTGACCCGGTCAATGCAAAGATAGCAAAGTCGGATTAACAACGACACCCATCCTTGAATAGAAATGTTAGAAGATACAGGTATAAAGAGACGGTTTCAAAGATACGGTTACAAAGATATGGTTTCAAAGATACGGTTACAAAGATACTGTTACAAAGATATGGTTACAAAGATACGGTTACAAAGATACGGTTACAAAGATACGGTTACGAAGATACGGTTACAAAGATACGGTTACGAAGATACGGTTACAAAGATACGGTTACAAAGCTACAGTTAATTATGAAGATAAAGTTACAAAGATACGGTTACGCAAAATACTGTACAAAGATATGGTTACAAAGATACGGTTACAAAGATACGGTTACAAAGATATGGTTTTAAAGACACGGTTACAAAGATACGGTTACGAAGATACGGTTACAAAGATACGGTTACAAAGATACGGTTACAAAGATACAGTTAATTATGAAGATAAATGGTTTTAAAGACACGGTTACAAAGATACGGTTACGAAGATACGGTTACAAAGATACGGTTACAAAGATACGGTTACAAAGATACAGTTAATTATGAAGATAAAGTTACAAAGATACGGTTACGCAAAATACTGTACAAATATATGGTTACAAAGATACGGTTACGAAGATACAGTTAAGAAGATACGGTTATGAAGATATATGGTTACGAAGATATACAGTTACGAAGATACGGTTACGAAGATACAGTTACGAAGATACGGTTACGAAGATACAGTTACGAAGATACGGTTACGCAAAATATTGTTATGAAGATATGGTTACAAAGATACGGTTACAAAGATACGGTTACAAAAGATACGGTTACGAAGATACGGTTACCAAGATAGGTTACCAAGATACGATTACAAAGATACGGTTACAAAGACACGGTTCCAAAGATACAATTATGAAGATACAGTCACAAAGATACGGTTCGAAGATAAGGTTTTCTGACTTGAAAAGTGTTTAATTCTGTGAGTTTCTACATTGTTTCTGATATGGAAGAAATTGTAAGTCACCTTTGTAGAGAAACCACAAATGAAAATAAATAGTTTAAAGAAATCAAAAACAATCAAACTTTATAGGCAAAAACCATTTTTCACAATTTCACAAAACCAACAACTGGGCAATATTCAGTGGTTTAAGGCGCAACTTTAGACACTCGTATCGACATGTTTCGAAAAAATTGAAAAATCGACCTCCATTAGTGATTGTTGATTTTTAAAAGGGCTTGCGCTGACCCATTTTTCAAAGAATAAAAAAATTTTATAATGTTTTATTGTAAGTTTAATTGAACAATTTTTGCTGCGTGTCCCAGGGTTAATCAGACAAAGCTGTTAAGGGTACTGTCGTAAATCGGGCATTGCCATCAAGGCCTAGGTGGTCACTTAAACATTACTCTAACAGTTTCTTCATTTAACTAAAACTTGATTTAAGTAAAAATCTGAATTTAATTTTCTATGGATTTTTCAGAATCTAAATCTAAATCATTTTTAAACGTTTTTTTGTTGTGTGGGGGGGGGGTGGGGAGGGGATGTACTGTACAAATGTAAACAAACAGAGCAAAGTAAACAAATAAAAACAATGCACCAATTATAACGAGAAACAATTTTAGAATCAAAATTTTACATTTTGTCATTTTTTTAAATTGTTTCTCTATCTTGCACACATTTTACAAAAAAAAATGTATTTTAAACCTTTCCTAGAAATTAATTATACCTAAAAAGTAAAACTAAACACTAAATTCTTTATTTAATTTCCTTGCTAAATGTTAAAAGTACATCTTTTTACACAAACAGAAAACAAATCAGTTTACAATTATTTTTTTAGACCAGGCACATTTTTTGTTTAATTATGCACCATGAAAAAAAATATAGTCCAAACTTTGTTAATTAAAAAAGAGTTTGCTCCCCTTTCTGAAAATATACGTACTTTCCCATTTGTTTCAATTGGAACACTAGTAAGCCAACTAAAGGTGTTGAAAAGAATGATTATTTTTTTTTTAAATTTGCAACTAAGAATAAACAAAAATTGACATGAAATTCATGAATTTTAAAAACCTCTTTTTTTCTGTCAAAAATGGTTGTTTTCTCGGAAAGTATCATTCTGAAAGATTCTTAGTTACGATTTTTGAGGAAAAATATTAGCTTAACTGTATTCCAAATCTAAAACATTTGGGTATTTTAAACATATATTTTCAAGTTACTGAACAATTCCTTTATATAACACGCTTTTGAATTAAAAAGTGCTGGACTATGTTAAAAATGTTCCCATTACGTTCTGTTCCTGTGAAAAAATTTGTAAAAACTAAAATAAAAATAAAATTTTGACTCTTCCTCAACCTAAGGCATCTAGTAAATCTATAAAACAAGTTTTCTTTCTTACTCCTATCCCCCTCTAATGTTTAAACTTGTTATGAGTATGCTTTTGTATTTTTCAATATTTTTTTGTGTATCAAAATAAGCAAAACCAAGGTTTTTTAGATAATCATAAAAAATCAGAATTAATTCCTAAGGTGTATATTATAAAGACATATAATTATGATGTAGTCTATTAACGTTATTTTTCAATTTTTTCCTCATGTAACGGTGTGTAGTATACTTAACAATTAGGTACATATTATGCCCTATGATTCAATAAGATTTGCTGTGACGCAAAATTTTTAATGCGCGTACAGTGTAGTATATAGAGAACCTGAAAACAGTGGAATAAAAGACGACATGAGAACAATAGTTAAATGTTGTTATAAAGCAAATGGTTTCTCTTGTAAACTATTCAATCACTTATTGAGTGAAATAGGTCTATTTACACTGAACAATTGCTGTGTCTTTTGTTCATAAAACTATTTAAAGTATAAAAGTCGTCTTCCTATTTCAGAGTTTGATGATTCTCACTGTGTTACATATTGTACTGTATTCACGTTATTTCATGTTCACTTAAGAACTAAAAGTACATATCTAAAATTAGCATGAATTAATATTGTACTGCATATTTAAATCACAATGCAACATATAGATCTGAAGGTCGGATTTAATAAATAGCGAGAAGTAGCTTATCTCGTTAGGGCTAAAGTGACAACCAGAAAATTCTTGGAATAGGAAAACGGCTTTCAGACTCAAGTTATGACTTATAAAATGGTCAATAAACACAAGACTCAGAAATAGTGTAGTAAATAGACCCATTTCTCTGAATAAGTGATTTTATTACTTACAAAAAACTATTTGTATATTGAAATAACATCAAATACACTTAAGTAGGTTTTAATGTCGTCTTTCTATTCCACAGTTTTCTAGGTCTCATTGTATTTAAACTTCTTCTCGTTATTATTTAAACCAGACATCGTTTATATCTTTATTTTTATTTAGTATAATTGATCAACATCAGCAAAGATTAGTTTTTAATAAGATATTTGTTGTTGTAGTGTATACCAGGCCACCACCCCCAACACCATTCGGACCAACTATACAGCCAACCTGGCCTCAACCTCCCACACTTACAACAAGGTAAAAGATATATATAGGTTTCTAAACATTTTGTAATATTGTACACAGTATTTTCTTTGATTTGTTTAATTATAGAAATCAAAAATATATATAAGCAACAGTTTAAATCTGAAAGTGCTACGTTACTGAAAAAGGGTGCAAAACGCCTTGTAATATAATTAATGTATTTATAAAAGTCAGAAAGATTTGAGAATTTGAGAGAAAAATTCTGTAGATCTGTAGAACTGTCGAACTGTAGAACTATAGAACTGTAGAACTGTTGAACTTTAGAACTATAGAACTGTAGAACTGTAGAACTGTAGAACTGTAGAACTGTAGAACTGTAGAACTGTAGAATTGTCGAACTGAAGAATACAAAATATTGGAAAAAGTTTAGTCAGAATGGTGATCCAATTATCAAAGACAGGAAAGTAGTAGTAGGACAGGAAACCATGAAGTGAGGACAGGGAACCATGAAGTGAGGATAAGAAAGCAGGAAATGAGGACAAGAAACCAGGAAGAGAGGATAGGAAACAAGGAAGTGAGGATAGAAAAGCAGGAAGTGAGGACAGGAAACTAGGAAGTGAAGACAGAAAACCAGGAAGTGAGGACAGGAAACCAGGCAGTGAGGACAGGAAACCAGGCAGTAAGAACAGGAAACCAGGAAATGAGGACAGGAAACCAGGAAGTGAGGACAGGAAACCAGGAAGTGAAGTTCGAAAATCAAGTATTAAATGCAATTTTTGTTTTCATGAAAAGTTTATGTTAATATAAATAAAGTATAGAAGTATTTACATGAAAACATATTGATATTTATTAAATAGAACCCAGCCCTGTGCTTAATGTTTGTGTATCAGTATAAATGATACAATATGTAAAAAAAGAAAAAAGAATAAAAGAATACAAAAATAATATCATAACTTTTATACAAGTGTTTACCAGACACTGGTATCAGATATTTATAGATTTATGAGATACCAGACTTAGATATTCATAGATTTCTGAGATACCAGACTCATATATTTACCAGAACTAGTGGAAAGTGTGAAGTAGTGTAACAAGCCATATAAAGTTTAAATATTTCTTTCTCTTTAACAATTTGACCTCAGATAAGGTTTGTTGCAATTCGAGCAAAATCATACAAATTTCAGAAGGTACAGTTGTGAATTGGCATGCAACTATTTTGAAATAAGGAGTGCAGTCCCTTTAAGGAGACTTAAATCCCTTTTAGGAGACTTAAATCAAGTTGTGTCCTTGAAGAAAAGTGTCAACTCCTGTGTTCTTTTTTAGAAGAGTTTTCCGTCGAACCACTCCAAGACCATTCCAAGAACAGGAGAATGTTGGAGAAGGAGGAGGAGGGGGAGGTGGGGGAGGTGGAGGGAGAAGACCAACAGCTAAAATATCTACATCTACAACAACTACAACTACAACACTGCCCCCAAGTAAGTTAACTAAACACAAAAACCTCCATATTTTTATTTTGGAAGAAATGTATAAAATTGCTTTAAATATTCGGAAAGCATGACAAATCACTTTCAGAGGACAAAGTCAACAGTTCACTTATATAAATGCTTCTTTTTTAATCTTACAACAAAAACAAAGAACACATCAATGAAAAGTATACACAATGCATGTGCTTAAAGAGAGAGTTTGCATTTCAAACTAAATTAAAAAGATTGATATGATGTTAAATGGTTCTGTTTACACTGTAAAATCACTGTAAAGTCATAACTTGAGTCTAAAAGTAATAATAAAGACTCATATAAAATGATTTACTAAAATTGTTTGAACTAAAAACTTTCTCTTTAAAAATATCATTTTATCCTTCCCTGTAGCCTTTTTATTTACCCCACCCTGTTTAAACATAAAAAGAACACGAGTGGTGTCACATCTGTTTTAAACTTATTCTAAATTCTTTCAACCTGGATTCAGAGTCCAAAACTAAAGAACGAAAAATTCTGACTTAAATGTTAAGTTTCAGCTTAAATGCTTTTTCTGATTTATTTAAACCTGAATTTTAAGTTACAGCTTAAATATTTACCTCGTCCATTTCTGCAAGATAAATTGCCAACCCGAAAATACCCGTTTTAAATTTTGCGATATTTTAATGCATAAAAATAATTTAATCTTACGTTAAAGATTATCCATTTTATCACGTAATCTGGAATAATACATAAATCGTGTATTTTTAACGAAATATATTTTGTTATTATTGGCGCTGCAGTTCTGTGAAGAAATTGAAATTACGAAACAGCTTGTGTTGCATAATTCCTGTCGATCCGTAATCTCTATAATTCCCGTAATCTGATTGGTCCATATTGTACACGGGAAATATTTAATTTCCCTTCAGAGTTAAATTTAGAATTTAAGTATCAACTCATCATTTTTCAGAACTTTTAAGCTATGACTTAAATTTCGCGCATTCTTTGCTTTTAGACTCAGGAATTTTTAAAAAAAATGTGTTTTACTAATGTTTTACTTTTTTGCACAAAAGGGCGGGTTGGTAAGTAGCCAACGTATTGTTGAGTCTAGTATAGTAGGTTTTTTTTTACAGGGTGCCTAATTGAAAACATATTGTTTTAAAGGGGTTTAAATAGTCGAAAAAAAACTTATAAATCGTCTTTGATCAATAAACTGGTATTCAAATTAGAAATTGTAATGAATTTAGAAAAATAAAATTTTGTTCGATCGTGGAGCACATTTTCGCAAATTGGATGCTATGCATTTGGAAGGAGCAAAGGTCTAAATTGTGTGGGATATTTTTGTCATTTATCAACCAGCTTTCATAATCAAAAACAGAGTGAAACGGACCAAATAATTGAAATCTAAGGAAGAGAAAGAAAAACTCTTATTAATTGGTCTTTTAATGGTATTCTGGGGGAGAAGGGAAGAACATTTTTTAGAATTTGTCCAGTCTTTTTAATGGCATAAAGGGGGGGGAGCGAATAGGAAAATTTTAGAGAGCTGGTACAACTTGTTTGGTATTCTAAACATGTTTTTTCACTTTTTGTAGATTCAGATAAATATTTTGATAATAATCAATTAGCTTGAAAAAACACCTAGATAAATAAAAATATTTAATTTACAATATTCTGTAGAGTTTCAGTGTAGGAAAGGTTTATATTTTTTTAAAGATACAATTTCAGTTTGTTATAGTGTGACAAACTGACTATATTTTTTATTTTGTTCCTTTGCAGTGTAAAGATTAATTTCTTTTGGTGGCTTTTTAGAAAAGTTAAGTGTCAAAACTGAAAATCTAGCCTTTTTTTACAATCTTGGCCTTAAATTCATTTTCAGTGTTATGCTTATAGATTCCAATAATTGGTTAGCTTGTAAATTCGATACAGGATACACGATACAGTATACAGGATACACGATACAGGATACACGATACAGGATCCAGGATCCTGGATACAGGATCCAGGATACAGGATACAGGATACTGAAAACAGGATGCAGGATACAGGATACAGGATACAGGATACAGGATACAGGATACAGGATACAGGATACAGGATACAGGATACAGGATACAGGATCCAGGATACAGGACACTGAACACAGGATACAGGATACAGGCTACAGATATTATTAAACAGGATACATGATTTAGGTTATTAATTAGTCCACCGTGCATGCTCTTAATACTTCTAAATATAGTTTTAATACTTATAATAGTTCCAATACTTTTAAATAGTTTTAATACTTCTAAATAGTTTTTAAATATTTTACTCAGTATAATAATTATAATTAGACTAAATAGATAGGAACTAAATTCTTGCAATTAATTATAATTTAATTTTGCAACCCGAAGTCGTAATTTAATATTTCAACCTATGAAGTATGCCAGGTCTAGTCCAGGTTTATGATGTCAAAGGTGAATACCATCACATTGCAAAGATATAGAGATTATAATATTTGAGTTTGTGGCAAAAACTCTATTCCTTTAATTGTAAATTATCTAGTGCAAAACTGAAAGATAAGAAGGAAACTATAAACTTGCCTCAAGCTCAAATTTTATTGTTACTTGCAAGGTCATCTTGAAGACGTTTACTAGGACTGTAGGTGTAATTTCAAATTACCTTCCGATTTACAATAGTTTTCAAATAATCCTTTGAATAACAAAGGATTATTCCCCCTTAATTACACCTTTGGCTTCCTGGGCAATAATTAAAAATTGTTTGAAGTATCAAAGGTTGCAAAGATAAAAGAATGATAAACTAAAGTTTGAAATATCAAAGGTTGTAAAGAAAAAAGAATGATAAACTAAAGTTTGAAATATCAAAGGTTGCAAAGATAAAAGAATGATAAACTAAAGTTTGAAATATCAAAGGTTGCAAAGATAAAGGAATGATAAACTAAAGTTTGAAATATCAAAGGTTGCAAAGATAAAAGAATGATAAACTAAAGTTTGAAATATCAAAGGTTGCAAAGATAAAGGAATGATAAACTAAAGTTTGAAATATCAAAGGTTGCAAAGATAAAGGAATGATAAACTAAAGTTTGAAACATCAACGGTTGCAAAGATAAACGAATGATAAACTAAAGTTTGAAATATCAAAGGTTGCAAAGATAAACGAATGATAAACTAAAGTTTGAAATATCAAAGGTTGCAAAGAAAAAGGAATGATAAACTAAAGTTTGACAGTAATTAGTTAATTTGCAGTGATTATTTTTAATTAAAAAAAATCCGGTATTTTAATTTTTGCAACACCTTTTGTTAAGTTAAGTTAAGTTAAGTTATTAAGTTTGTATCCAAAATTGTCATTTTACCTAACGAAGAAGTTTACTATTATGAAAGCGTAACATCTTAATTTTCCATTTGACAGTTTTGGAAAACAAATTTTTTGAAGATTATTTCTAAAAGCTATGAAGAGTTTTGACATTAAACAGATTCTGGATCAAATCATTACGAAGGAAATTGGAATATTTATTTACTTTTCTTGCGTACAGTAGTCACCAGAAAACAGTGGAAGGACATTTTGTCTTTAATCATTTAAAAATGACTTGTCAATAGAAATGTTAAAATTCTAAGAATTGTGGATACTTGTTCTCTTTTTGTTAATCTTAGGATTATTTTAATCTTTATATAGTTTGTATCCAGGAAAGTTTCGAAAATTCAACAAATCAGAGTGGTATTAGCAGAATTCCAAACAGCCAATCAGAAGCCGGAAAATATGAAATTGAGTGCGCTATTTAATGAGAAAACTCTCATTGGTTGGAAACCAATAGGGATATCCAAAAAGAGGGAATTTAGCTGAAATCAAAAGTGTCCACAATAGATATTAAGATTAAGCGATCTGTATTGAGGGTATCCAATTCTAAGGTTTTCAGCTCAGGGTCCATTTTCTGTTACAAATTACAATATATTTAGTGAAAATTCTAGACAAAGAGAGAAAAAAGGCATTCCTTCCACAGTTTTCTGGGTACCACCGTACCATTGCAGACGTGAGTAAATAATCAGAATATTGTTTTAAAGTTATAAACTTGTTTCTAGAATACTGTAAAGTCGAGGACCTAGAAGGAAGCAATGTTAAATATATAAGAGAGGGGTTTGAGAAAAGGGTAAGTGCACAGTTTTCTTTTATAAGGAAAAAAATCGGAAATTAAATTTTTTTAACATTCAACAAAAAAGATAGAAACTTTAAACTTGTAATACCAAAACAACGAAGGCCTTTTGTTTTTTGATTTAAAATTTATTATTTTAATTTTGCATTTGATAAATAATCTTTTTGCACAGTTTTACACCGAGGGAAAAGAAGGAAGTAATCTTTGCTCGTGCAAAAAATCCAACGGTGGCTCACAGCATTTTTGCACATACTTACAGGTAACACAACAACAACAACAACAACAACAAAAACAACAACAACAACAACAACAACAATAAATCTATCTAAAAGTATTTATTTCTAAAATCTAGATGGTTTTTTTAAACACTAACTTTAACGTTCTTTTCTGAATTTTTCCTTCTATTCTGAAAATATCAAATTTTTAAATTTATGTCAATTTTATTAAAAACTGGATTTATTAAGAATTTTGCAAACAACCTGCCATTTAACAACTTTTCAACTAAAGTCACAAGTCACTGTTTGAACTTTCATAAAATTTTAGAATTTTATAATCATAGTTAAAATTATCCCCATTATCTTTATATAATCATTATCATTAAATTATTATTATTATTTACAGGACATTACAAAACATATTTGCAAAATAATGCATTTTTGAAATTTAGAGCTAAGAAATGAAATTCTGGTACTTCAAATAAACCAAAGTTTTCAGTCACATTACATTCACAACTGAAGAATATTCATTTGTCGTACTGACAGTACTGTCCCGTTCTAGCCGTCTAATCAAGGTTATAATGCTAGGAAAGTTAATTGTAGTTGCGTATACTCTGCGTACATATTGAAGCCAGTACTCTCTGGGCGGAATTTGTAAACAAGAATAGATGCATCAGTGTTCGTTCAGTATCCGAGGAGGCTAAAAGCATTGAGTTTTCTAAAATTTTGATAATTCACATTTTCCTATGACTAGAATGTTTCATAGATTTTTCTTGTGAAAATGAATGCCATGCCAGGCTGTGACATCCGTCTTGTGTTTACTTTACCGCCCAGAGACAGTACGTGCAGTACAAAAGATGCATTCACCTCTGAAATAACTTTCCTTGCATTATAACCTTGTGTCCAATAGTTTCTATGTATACTGCACAATATGCACTAACTCTATTGAGTTTTTAATGTTCGGTTAGGGGGTTTAGATAGATAGATAGTCTTAGGAGAAACATTTTTTTTAAAGGGGCTGGAGGGGTTCACGGAACATTAATATGACAATACCAAAAAATGTTCATTATATTAATGTTATTGACTAAAAACTTGTCAGTTTATCAGTTATCTAACTGTACTATTTCTCTTCCTCGCCATCCATAAGAAATTCAGTTTTACATTTCCCAATTTAAAGTTGATTATAGAAACACCATTTTTATAGAGAAAATACAAAACAACAATCTTCTTCCAATCTTTTTATTTCAGATCTATTTGAAAATTGTCAAGTTAATGAATTGACTGAAAACATTTATACATCTCTTCCAAAAGACAAAAGCACAAACAAATTAGCAGATACAATTGCTCGAAACATGTTTGCTAGAAATGGAATTACTAGAAATTGAAGAGTGGTTATTTATGCTGTTGTGTTTAGTCGTTCCAGAGTCTCCGCCAGGTGTCTACCTCTACCTTGGATACAGTAGGATAGATGCTGAAATACTTAAACAAGGGAGGATGAAGTTAAATGATGAGGTTATTATTCACGTTTATTTTTAAAATCTCATTCATATCAAAATATAAGCAGGTAGGATGAATAATATAAGCAACCCAGGGTTAGTACTCTTTTATTGAGATTCATCCATTTGGTGTTGGACTAAAAATGTATTCTCCTAAAATATGGATTTTCGAACTTAACAAGGCACTTCTAAGCTGGTATTTTGATGAATGATGTTCTATGAAAAATGAATGATGAATTATAAATGATGAGTGTTGAATAATGAATGATGAATGATGAATGTTGAATGTTGAATGATGAATGATGAATGATGAATGATGAATGATGAATGATGAATAATGAATGATGAATGTTGAATGATGTATGATGAATGTTGAATGATGAATGATGAATGATGAATGATGAATGATAAATGATGAATGATGAATGAGAAATGATGAATGAGAAATGATGAATGATGAATGATGAATGATGAATGATGAATGATGAATGATGAATGATGAATGATGAATGATGAATGATGAATGATGAATGATAAATGATAAATGATTAGTGATAAATAATGAATGATGAATGATGAATGATGAATGATAAATGATAGATGATAAATGATGGATAAATGATGAATGATGAATGATGAATAATGAATGATGAATGATGAATGATGAATAATGAATGATGAATGATGAATAATGAATGATGAATGATAAATGATAGATGATGAATGATGAATGAAAATTAAGGTCCCTTTAACGGATGATGAGGAAGAGAATGAAGTTAAGAATACAATCCAACAAACAGTTTCACACTTTACCTCAAACACAAACAAGGTAATGTTATCAATATTTTCCACAAACTTAATTTTATCATATTTTTATCCTGCCAAAATTCTGCACTCTCAAAAAATATTTTTATCAAAACTGTTTCTTTTTACCATTTTTTCCCAATTTTCAACTGAAAAAAATGTTATTTGAAGAATGAAATAATGTCTTTTTTTCTGATTACAATAATTTTTTTATTTAGAGTGACTGTAGGATTCGTTTAGAAGGAAGGATTGGAGAGAACTACATTCTTAAGGTATAAATATAGGTCAAGGTCTATGTCGATGTTAAGGTCAAGGTCAAGTTCATGTTCATGGTTCAGGTCGAGATCTAGTTAAGGTCAAGGTCAAGGTTCAGGTCAAGTTCAAGGTCAATGCTAAGGTCAAGGTCAAGATCAAGGTTCAGGTCAAGTTCAAGGTCAATGCTATGCTCAAGGGCAAGGTCAAGGTCAAGGTCAAGGTCAAGGTCAAGAAAAAAGATTACGGTTACTGTTAAAGGGAGTGTTCGCGAAAAATTAAAGGGGGTATTGACTTAAGGCGATAAATAATCGCTTTTGATCGCTACTAATCTTACTTCTATCTGTTGCATCTATAAGGAGAAAACTGTTAAAAACGTCTCATACCGATGAACATAGATTCCTTACAAATTGAGAAAGTTGCAACATACAACTGGGATCGTAACAAAATCGATTTAATTCCAAATTTCAAAGCATTCAGAGATTACAACCTATAGTTATCGATTGTTTTTGACGCATTCATATATATAGTTGATATTTCATAATATTTTTTACTTTTTACGAGAGTTACTTTTGAAAACATTCCTGTTTCGAAGATTTTGATAATGTAGACGACATTTTTTTTATATTTTTCGGGAATGCACCAGTCATCATGTCATAAAAACAAGTTGTAAGCGAAAAAAATAATATCAACAAAAAATATTTGTTTGATATAATTTATTTTTTTACGATCCAAGTCGTATGTTCCAGCTTCCTCAATTTGTGCGGACGCTACGTTTTTAACAATTTTCTCCTTATAGACGCAACAGATAGAAGTAAGATTAGTAGCGATCAAAAGCTCTTATTTTTCGCCGTAAGCCTATACCCCCTTTCATTTTTCGCGAACACTCCCTTTAAGTTACAATCAATTTTAAGGTCAAGAATGGCCAACGAAGGTCAAGGTCAACGTTTAGGTTGAAAATGGCTTTAATTTAAGTGCCTGAGTGGTCTCTAAATAATATCTACTGAATAAGGTATTCATTACTTAATATTATACTGTATGAAGGCAACCCTGGATGAGTTTGATGAGTTTAGAATGAAAAAGAATATGTCCGACTACATGAAGTACAAGGAAAAGGTAATTGAGGGGATCTCATTTTTAGGAGACCTCAATTTAAAACATTAAAAACCCAATTCACAAAGGTGCCCTGCCTTTCATCGGATTTACAATGAGGAAGTATTGTTGCTATTTTGTCTTTTTCCTTTGTTTTCTCAAACTGCACAAATTTTATCAAGCTTCAGATTGAAAAATAGTCATTAGGTGACCCCATCCTTTTTGATCAAACAAACATTTAAAGCGTACCATGGGAATCGGACATGGCACTCTATAAATGTAGGGTTACTTGAATTTACGTTTATTATCCAATATGAGTGGAATAGTGATATAGCTTATAGATATGCAGATAATTACACAGTAATGTTACAATGTAATCAATTAAAGAGTGGTATAGTGATATAGCTTATAGATATACAGATAATTACCCAGTATAAATGTAATCAATTAAAGAGTGGTATAGTGATATAGGTTATAGATATGCAGATAATTACACAGTAATGTAATCAATTAAAGAGTGGTATAGTGATATAGCTTATAGATATACAGATAATTACCCAGTATAAATGTAATCAATTAAAGAGTGGTATTGTAGCAGGAAAGTGATGGATTGATCTTTCCTGCGATCATAAATAGTATTTTTTCCTTCTTTCCATCATTTCCAGTTTCTCCCCCCAACCCCTTCTTCCATCCCTCGTCAGATCTAACGGATTTATTCTTGTTTGTGTTTAAATTCTATAAATAACCAAAGCCACGCGGAGAAACCGTTATCCCAGAAACCCGGGGGCTGGTGGGTTAGCCGGCCAGCTCACGGGGAGACTAGGGTTAAATGCTAACCCGGGGTGGAGCGAAATCTGGGGAAAAAGAGTCAGTTGATCATCAGCTCCCTTAAACTGAGGTTCCCTTGAAGATTCCCCATCACTCTGAAACTGCTTAATTCATAATATCTTATTAGTATAGTATCAATCGTTTATTTTTTGTATCTTTGTAAATAATAAATTGTAAGAAAACCGACTCGTTGAATATTAATAATACAAGTGTTTGCATTGATTTATTTTCTTTCATATACAATAGTATAGTGATATAGCTTATAGATATGTAGATAATTACACAGTATATGTATTCGATTTCGGTAGGACTGAAGAACTTTTAATGCTAATTGAGGAAATTCTCTTTTCTAATATTTTAAAGGGACTGTAAGCGTAATTTCAAGTGACCCTCCATGCATGCATACATAACAATACCCGATTAACAACGGTTTCCTTTAAAACTTTGTCTGATTAAGTATGAGCTAGATAGATCCAATTTTTGTTTCTTTAAACTGTTCATATTCATTTGCTTTTTATTCTCATTTTAAACAATCAGCTTAAGCAACAACATTGATAAATTATTATGCAGTAGCTTAAAGATAAACGTACTAATTGAAATTATAGTCTGTGAATTCACCAAGTACAACTGCTGTATTTCAAAATAAATTATAATCGCATCTTGATTCAAACAATCGTCTTCCTATACCACAGTTGTTGTTTCCCACTGTATAATTTAATATTAATATTCTAATACATAGGATGAATGTTATGAGGCCCTGGAAAGTATAGCTAGCAAAGTTAATGCTAGAGACGCAGATATGCGATCACACATTATTCTCTCAATGTTTAAGGTAAAAAAATAGTTTAAAAAATTAAAAACAGCCAAACAAACCGACAAAACCAAAGCAAATCAGACAAAGCAAAAAGATACACAAAAAGGTTTATACAAAAAACCAGAAAAATACGGAGAAAAAAATCGATAAAAAAGGTAGGCCAAGGAGAGGTCGGTCTCCATCCTTGTATATATCCGTAACTTGTGTCTACTAGCAGGCCAAGCAGAGGTCGGTCTCCATCCTTGTATATATCCGTAACTTGTGATACTAGCAGGCCAAGGAGAGGTCAGGCCCTCTCCTTATATATATCCGTAACTAGCGATACTAGCAGGCCAAGGAGAGGTTAGGCCCTCTCCTTGTTAATATCGATGAATAAGATTAAAGCTAAATGTAAATATCTGCAGTATAGAGAGAATACACAGTGGAGATCCTTGGTCAAAATGGAATATAATTAATATATTATATATATTATATATATTTAGCTAAATTAGTTAATACTGCACTAGATCTAACACATTATACAGGCAACATATTTACAAACAGGGTGTCTCAAGAAACACCAATCATTATTTCTGCAGAAAGACACATGGTGTTTCAACATTTTGAAAATTTACAATTTTTACATTTTTTAGGTTGCCGAAGGAGAAGCAAATACACCTGATCCTCCTCCGAGCTCTAGTTCTTCTATTCATTCTTCTATTCAACCATTCATTTCATCCCTTATAGCTCTATTCATCCTTCATAGGTAGTATTCATTCTTCTATTCATTCATTTCATCCCTCATAGCTTTATTCATCCTTCATGGGTAGACTGTAGTATTCATTCTTCTATTCATTCATTTCATCCCTCATAGCTTTATTCATCCTTCTTGGGTAGTATTCATTCTTCTATTCATTCATTCATTTCATTTATAATATCTGTATTCATTCTTAACAAGTAATATATATTTATAATTTTCTTCATGCTTCCTTTTAAGCAATTACTATAATTATATACTTATTCTTTGTGTTTTTATTCCTTACATATTTAATCATAAATATTGTTTTTATTGTTTAAAATGATTCACATTTTATTTCATTCAACATCATACAGGGTTACCTGTAAAGGATGAGACTGTAAAGACGACCTGAAACTCAATAAATATGATTTAAAATTCGGTGATGTTGATATGACAATTCCAAGGTTATAAGTCTTCTACCAATCTTCAAAATGTAAGAAAACAGACAGTTTGAATTCCGTAAGTCGTCTCTTAAGTCGATCTCATCCTTTGTAGGTAACCCTTTAATAATCGTATTTTTAAGAACTTTTTCTATCTTTGTTACAATCCTTTTTTGTTTAGGATTACTGAATTGTGATATTGAAGACGAAAATAAATATGCAAAACACAGCCTCGATTATATAGATTAATATATTGTTCTATAATAATTTGTTATGAAATTGTTATTGAATAGTTAAAACATCACGTGATAAAGAAAGGAACTGTGTAACAGACCTACAGGTTCAAAGTGAAACTTTAAACAAGGTCATAAAGTACATTAGGTACACCAAGTTCATTAAGTACATCAAGTACACTTAATGAGCTAATTTCCCCGTATAAAATATGATCATGTGAAACACCGGTGAAAACTCCTGAACTATTACGAAATAAGACATTTTTGTTATAATCTACTTAAAGATTTTGTTACCATTCATCTGTTAATATAATCCTTCTATTGTACAGTACTGTACAGTATGTACAGTTTTTTTTTTATCCATGTGCACTTTGTAAAACAGATGCATAGACTGTTATTTCAGTACTGTCACTGTCAAACCTTTGAGATCATTTTTATTCCGAAATCTTCCGTATCTGAGGAATCTGAGAAGGATTGGTTTTCCAAAAATCGTTTTTTACATGATTTTATGACAATCATAATAATAATATAAAACACTTTACAAAACCTAGAAATCCCGCTCAATTATCCCTGTATTTTACATCAGTTATTCTCAACATTTTATATTTGGAAAACTTTAAACTTTTCTCTCTAAATTAATTTTCCCAATTCAGAAAAGTTTTAATTTTTAACCTATTAAATTTGTTTTCTAAAATTGTTCTGTGCTCTTTACTTATGCGCTACATATTTCTCTTGCTATTAAATACTTTTTTTACAGTCGTTATCGTTTTAATAAAATGTCTATGACCAATTTCCATAAGAGGAAGATCAGTTCTGAAATATTGGATTTTAAAAGTCAAAATCAATGGAATTGAAGAAAAAATTACTTAAATTTGTGCATAATTAGGAAATCAAATTAGAAAATTTTATTATTTGAAGTTAGAGAATGTTTCAACCATGATAGATCACATCTTAACACCCTAGGAAAATCCTTCACCCCAACACCTTCAAATCAACAAAAATCTCTTTCAATAATATTTTGACTTAGCTTATCCTCGAGACTAATAAATTCAAACTTGTAACTAACTGTAGAAATTATTAGATTATTAAAATCATGAAATTAAGATTTTCATATTTTTGATCTTTCTCGTTTTTCATCTTTATCCTCTTAATTAGACTTATAATTGATAAAGCGATTAATTAAATTAAAATTTAATAATTAATTGAATGTCTGAAAGAACTTATAAAAAATTGTTAAGGTCAAATTTTAAGTTAAACCTTTGCCTTGAATTTGCATCTACATGAATTAATTTTTAAATAGCGTTTTTGTCTATTAAAAACATAGTTTGAAATTATTGTATATATTCTTTTCCTTAAAAATCATAAATTTGAAACTTGTTAATTTTAACATAATAATGAAGATGTTGAAAAATAAGAGTTTTATGTCCATTTATATTTATTCAAAGATTTTATTGTATTTGTTATTGTTCAATTTTTAGAAACCTAGTAAAACCTTTCGGCTGTTTTTTTTAATCTATAGACTCCTGATGGTGAGAAGGGAGAGTGATTTTTTTTCAAATTCTTTCTATTAACTTCATTGGTTTGCTTAAATACAGCTCAAAAAACCTTCCTAGCATAATGATTCTGATGTCATTTCTCTCTCAAATTTTAGTTTTTAAACAAAAATAGATTTTTTGAAAATATGATTAAAAGAAAATAAAATCTTGAAAAATCTCACTCTGCTTAGCTTGACCCAGAGTTAATCTTTTTACAGTGGTCGACGTTTATATCAATAATATGAAGACAACTTTTCTATTTAACTTTTGAGTTCTAACAAGCCTCAAAAACTACAAGTTTACTTGTAAACAAATAGAAGCTGTTAATGGAAAGCTTCTCTTTGTTTCCATGTTTATGTGTATCCATTCTGTTTATAAGCATAATAGAAAAGCTTGGTAAAATTCAAACATCTAAATTGAAAGTCGTCTTCATTGTATTGATACATACGACGACGACGACTGTTCCTTCCCTTATCTCCTGAATACTAGCCAATCAACGGTTGATCCTGTGATACAAATAATATTCATTAATAAACTAGCTTGAAATAAATATCTGTTTCACTAGACTTTTTATTTTACAAAATTTGAGTTAAAGGGACTGTAAGCGTAATTTTAAGTGACCTACCATGCAAAGGCAGCAGAGCCCAATTTACAAATCACCCATGGGCTTGAAACCTTTATCTGATCAATTACGTGGAAGATATTGTCGTTTTTCCAAAGGTTTATGTTTTCCTGCAGGGGAAATACGAAAGTCACTTTTCTAGTGAAACCACGAAAAAAAATGATCAGTTTTCAAAGTGTTAAGCATTGATAACGTACTTGATCAGACAAAGCTTTTACGGCTACCGTGTGAATCGGATATTGATTGAAGAATTGAAATTACTTAAAATCAGTCTCTTCGCACTAAATATTTTTTTTGAAATTTTTTTGACATTGTCCGTGTTCATATCAAGACCATGAAAGAGGCTCTCCTATTAGGGTTTTGATTTCTGACAAGCGTTTTTTAAATTACAAACATTGCTGGTAAACATTTATTGTCCGTTTTGGATATGCATGTCATTGAGTAAAATAAACCTTAGTTTTAGCAAGGTTATAATGCAAGGAAAGTTATTTCAGAGGTGTTCGCATCTTTTGTGCTGCAGTGTATTGTCTTTGGGCGGTAATGTAACCACAAGACGGATGTCGAAGCCTGACATGGGATCCATCTTTCACATAAAAAAAAAACAATGAAATATTCTGGTCATAGAAAACTAATATGCTAATTATCAAAATTATCAAAATTTAATGCTTTAAACCTCCTCGGATACTAAACGAACACTGATGCATCTATTCTTGTTTACAAATTCCGCCCAGAGAGAACTGGTTTCAATTTGTACGCAGAGCATACGCAACTAAAATTAACTTTCCTTGCATTATAACCTTGAGTTTTAGTATCACAATACACAGTTAGGGCTGGGCGTCGTTCTCAGAAGATGATCTTTCTTTTACGGGAATAAACAGAATTATTAAGAATTACCAAACACAACCATTGTTCTGAAAAAAAGAACGAACACATAAAACACGTTCTTAAGAATTTTGGAACGATCTATAAAAGCGAACATGGAAGAAATGGTTATTGGCTGAAAGGAACAGTCTGGAATCGTTCTATTAAGAATGTGTTCTAAATCATCAAGAAAAAATAGAAATAGGTGAAAATTGTAGAGTTTTAATTCATCTTTAGGATTGTAAATTCTGTCAGTTTGGTGTGGTTGGCTAATGGGCGTGTTACCTCCCATTTACCCAACCTTTCCCCCTCTCTGTTCCTCCCTCTCAACCTAGTCCAATCTGTTCCTTGGAACCGTTCTCGATCAAGAACACAGAAAAAAGGAACGGAACGGAACAGGGATAGAACAACTGGAATAAGAACGAATGATCTGGCAGAAGGTCCTTGTTCTAGAACTAGGAACAAAAGATTAAAAAACAGGAGCACCTCCAGCCTTACACAGTATATAGTACAAACATCAAATATATTACTATGGAAATGCACTTTACATTAAATAAAATGGTTTCAAAGCTCCAATTCTCATCCATTTATTTCTAAATTACCATAATTCATTTTTTAACTGGCATAGGGATCTTCTTTACCGGCAGGTGCTGCTGGAGCAGCAGGAGCTCCAGCTGCAGGTGCTCCTGCTGAAGGAGCTCCAGCTGAAGGAGCTCCAGCTGAAGGAGCTCCAGCTGAAGGAGCTCCAGCTGAAGGAGCTCCAGCTGAAGGTGCTCCAGCTGAAGGAGCTCCTCCGGAAGGAGCTGCAGGAACATATGCTGCAGCAGCTGGGGTGGCGTCCTCACTATATCCATCTGCAGCCTCGTCTGCTGCAGGAGCATCAGGTGCTTCATATCCACCAGCAGAAGCTTCAGGTGCTTCATATCCTTCTGCAGCTTCAGCTCCAGCCATAGCTACAGTTTCCCCGCCATATCCTCCTTCATCCTAAATCACAAAATATCTAGATTTTCATTCAATATTATGTATCACTGTTTTAAATTTACTTACATACTGTTGCACCAGTCAGATGAAAGTGACCAGACCCTCTCGTATTTTACAATTCGTTCGTTTATTGTATGTTAACACCCTATTGTAAACTTTTTTTCAATCGTTCAAAAATTTTTGATTTTGTTCGTTTTTGGAATTTTTGTTTATTTTTAATCTTTTTACGCTTGTATTCTAATTGAAAGATCATTATATGAAATTGTTCATTCATTGGCATAGATTATTCTGTAAAATCATGCCTTTAGTTAAAGAGAACTCTTATTTTATAAAGTGTGTTACAAAAATTGTTCTTTCAGTAAAAACAGTCGTTTTTTCCAAATTTAATTTTAAAAATCAATAAAAAGTAGTCGTATGTTTGTTTGAAAAAATATCCATTCAGTTAAAAAAAACCTTTTAAAGAGTTCGTTCGAAAAAGTCTTTCTTAATGATCTTGCTGATCCGAAAATGCAAACCATTCATTCAGTTAAAAAACTATCGTTTTTAAAAATTCGTTCGAAATTTTTTTCTTTCGTTCGGTCTGGCTGATCCAAAAATGCAAACCATCGTTAAAAAAAAGAAATTTAATTCAATTTTAAAAATTTGGTTCGTTTACTAAAACGATTGCCATCTCTACTCTCATCTGACTGCAGCTAAGTAAGTAGATTTAAAACAGTTTACTCAGCAAAGAGGATTGTCAACCTTGCTACAATAACCTCATGAGAGCCTTCATTTTTATGAGCTACGTCCAATTCGCAAAGGTCTAAGGATATCTCAGACATAGATACCATGACCGAGATATCCTTGGTTTTAAATATGAAAATTGACAATTTTCAGTTGCAATTGAATTTGTTGAGAATGCGCTAAACATTTTGTAACTTTAGACATTTTGCTATTTTGGACATTTTGTAACATTTTGTAACTTTGAACATTTTGAAACTTTGGACATTTTGTAACATTTTGTGACTTTGGACATTTTGTTACATTTTGAAACTTTGGACATTTTGTTACATTTAGGATATTTTAATTCTACCAGTCCAGTAGGTTGCAGATCCAAAGCTATCTTTAATCCTGTTTTCAAAATTCTTCTCATCAAACTAGGATCAGAGCTGAAAACTTTAGAATGGCGGATATCAGGATTAATGCTTAATCCACTCTTTTTCTAAATCTCCAGATTAAATATTGCTTGTTTTCCTCATGAATTTAATCTCCAGATAAGTCAACAGATCGGGATTAAGGATCTCCCATTCTAAAGTTTTCAGCTCCGGACAGTTTTGTTAGACTTTACAAACTTTGCTTGGAGACTTGCTCAGCCGTTCTCGTCTTCTTACCGTAATTTAAAACGCAGAATTTTACTGAATTTTTGATCTTCTAAAACCGTTTTGCGCATTTACAGGAATTTAATTTCAAGAACTTACTTTTCAAAATCTGTAATACTTTGTATGTCAATAGTTAGTTAATAAGCAATGATTTTTACTCACATAGATACATAGAGCTATGAAAAGCTGCATCAATGTTCAAGACTGGGTCTACTTTAAAGTATCGCACTGCCTTGGCCTTTGTTTTTACCTAACTAACTCAATTTACTTTTTTCTAGCCCTTGATTTGTACATATCAGAACCATAACCCTTTTATGTTTTATAGCCCTCGATTTGTACATATCAGAAACATAACCATGTTATGTTTTATAGCCCTAAAGATGTACATATCAGACATAACCATGTTATGTTTTGTAGCCCTTGATTTGTACATATCAGAACCATAACCATGTTATGTTTTGTAGCTCTTGATTTGTACAAATCAGAACCATAACCATGTTATGTTTTGTAGCCCTTGATTTGTACATATCAGAACCATAACCATGTTATGTTTTGTAGCTCTTGATTTGTACAAATCAGAAACATAACCATGTTATGTTTTGTAGCCCTTAATTTTTACATATCAGAAGCATAACCATGTTATGTTTTGTAGCCCTTAATTTGTACATGTCAGAAACATAACCATGTTTTGTTTTGTAGCCCTTAATTTGTACATATCAGAAACATAACCATGTTATGTTTTGTAGCCCTTGATTTGTACATATCAGAAACATAACCATGTTATGCTTTATAGCCCTAAAGATGTACATATCAGACATAACCATGTTATGCTTTGTAGCCCTTGATTTGTACATATCAGAACCATAACCATGTTATGTTTTATAGCTCTTGATTTGTACATATCAGAACCATAACCCTTTTATGTTTTATAGCCCTTGATTTGTACATATCAGAAACATAGCCATGTTATGTTTTATAGCCCTAAAGATGTACATATCAGACCTAACCATGTTATGTTTTGTAGCCCTTGATTTTTACATATCAGAACCATAACCATGTTATGTTTTGTAGCTCTTGATTTGTAAATATCAGAACCATAACCATGTTATGTTTTGTAGCTCTTGATTTGTACATATCAGAACCATAACCATGTTATATTTTGTAGCCCTTAATTTGTACATATCAGAAACATAACCATGTTATGTTTTGTAGCCCTTAATTTGTACATATCAGAAACATAACCATGTTATGTTTTATAGCTCTTGATTTGTACATATCAGAACCATAACCATGTTATGTTTTGTAGCCCTTAATTTGTACATATCAAAAACATAACCATGTTATGTTTTGTAGCCCTTGATTTGTACATATCAGAAACATAACCATGTTATTTTTATAGCCCTTTATTTGTACATATCAGAAACATAACCATGTTATGTTTTGTAGCCCTCGATTTGTACATATCAGAACCATAACCATGTTATGTTTTGTAGCCCTTGATTTGTTCATATCAGAAACATAACCATGTTTTGTTTTGTAGCCCTTGATTTGTACATATCAGAACCATAACCACGTTATGTTTTGTAGCCCTTGATTTGTTCATATCAGAAACATAACCATGTTATGTTTTGTAGCCTGTAATTTTTACATATCAGAAACATAACCATGTAATGTTGTGTAGCCCTTGATTTGTACATATCAGAAACATAACCATGTTATGTTTTGTAGCCTGTAATTTTTACATATCAGAAACATAACCATGTAATGTTGTGTAGCCCTTGATTTGTACATATCAGAAACATAACCATGTTATGTTTTGTAGCCCTTGATTTGTACATATCAGAAACATAACCATGTTATGTTTTATAGCTCTTGATTTGTACATATCAGAACAATAACCATGTTATGTTTTGTAGCCCTTGATTTTACATATCAGAACCATAACCATTTTATGTTTTGTAGCCCTTGATTTGTACATATCAGAACCATAACCATGTTATGTTTTGTAGCCCTTGATCTGTACATATCAGAACCATAACCATGTTATGTTTTGGCCATGTTTTGTTATTGAACATTTTGTTCTTGGGTGTATTGTATCCATTCCATATCAATACAAAACTTACAAAAAAGAAAAATTTTCTTCACTAATTTATAAACTCAGCAAAAGTGTGGCACAGCTTTTCGCATCAATATGTTTAGACACCACAGCATTGTGGTAGGCTTTTCGTCGAAAAACAAAAAAAAATACAATATTTCTACAGCAGAAGTATACTGGTTTATTTCATTCAACAATATTACCGGGGTGTAGAAGTCACTTTTCCTTTAAGTTCTATTGATTTGTAGATATAAGGCGACCTTATCTGTCCCCGTTAATAAATTGAAACATAATTCCGTTGAATAATATATTTCCTTAATTTCGTAATTTTTATAAGAAGACTTAAAAATCAACTTTGATCAATGAAATAGGTTTAGGCCTTTATTTTTCATTAGATATTAATTTTCGTCCTCTCATTTCTAAAATGTGGTCTGCTCTTTTTGTGCTTTAATAATAAACGTGGATATGAATGATTTCGTTCAGAGTTAGACAATTCTGATTTTACTTGATAAATTAAAATTTAAACAAAATTCCAGAATACATTTGGAAAAAGGCAAGACTAGGGTTATTTTTCAGATGTTTTTTCAAAAATAATAAGATATTTCAGATTATAAATGCCTGAAATTATTTAAAATATTAAAGATGAATTCAAATATAATGCCTATGCAGTGATAACTAAAGAACACATGTGTGTCTCCTTACGTTATTCTTTTTAAATGTAGCCAGTTATGAAAGTTTTAAAATTTATTTAGAACTATGGTGTGGTGGGCAAAAACACCGCCCCCCCCCCCTTCAAACGTGAAAAAGAATAAATTCAAGAATATAAAAGGGTAAACAAAAATATTGAAAACTATGATAATAGTGGACATGGGCGGGCACTACAAAATAACACGGTGAAACCTTTGTAAATTTTAAAAAAAGGAGAAAATAAGTAACATTAAAAAAAATTTAAAAAATACCAATGTCTCGATGAGATAATGTTTGGATGAAATTGCAGCAGTAAGACATAGGATAGCAAACATAGAACGCATACTGATCATCTGAAAATTAAACTATTATTAAAGGGATAGAACGTATACTGATAATATGAAAACTAAACTATTATTAAAGGGATAGAGCGCATAATCTGATAATCTTAAAACTAAACTATTATTAAAGGGATAGAACGTATACTGATCATCTGAAAATTAAACTATTATTAAAGGGATAGAACGTATACTGATAATATGAAAACTAAACTATTAAAGGGATAGAAAGCATAATCTGATTATCTGAAAACTAAACTATTATTAAAGAGATAGAACACATAATCTGATAATATGAAAATTAAACTTTTATAAAAGGGAAAGAACGCATTATCTCATAATCTGAAAACTTAACTATTATTAAAGGGATAGAACGCATAATCTGATAATATGAAAATTAAACTATTATTAAAGGGATAGAAAGCATAATCTCATAATCTGAAAATTAAACTATTATTAAAGGGATAGAACGCATAATCTGATAATCTGAAAACTAAACTATTATTAAAGGGATAGAACGCATAATCTGATAATCTGAAAATTAAACTATTATTAAAGGGATAGAACGCATTATTTCATAATCCGAAAACTAAACTATTATTAAAGGGATAGAACGCATAATCTGATAATCTGAAAATTAAACCATTACTAAAGGGATAGAACGCATAATCTGATAACCTGAAAATTAAACTATTATTAAAGGGATAGAACGCATAATCTGATAACCTGAAAATTAAACTATAATTAAAGGGATCGAACGCATAATCTGATAATCTGAAAATTAAACTTTTATAAAAGGGATAGAGCGCATAATCTGATAATATGAAAATTAAACTATTATCAAAGGGTTTTAAGTTATTCTTTGTTAGTAGAATCGCATATGTCCCTTTAAACCGCTATCGTAATGAGGCACTGTGAACTAGAAAGGAGGAAAGATGGTTAAATCTATAAAAATTACTAGTCCAACATTGTAACCTCGTAGCTCCCAAGGTAATAGGGCAAGAAAAGTTTATTTCTGTTGCGTATTCTCTGCGTACATATTGAAACCAGTTCTCTCTGGGCGGAATTTGTAAACAAGAATAGATGCATCAGTGTTCGTTTAGTATCCGAGGAGGAAAAAAGCATTAATTTTGATAATTTTGATAATTCACATAATAGTTTCCTATGACCAGAATATTTCATTGATTTTTTATGTGAAAGATGGTTCCCATGTCAGGCAGTGACATCCGTCTTTTGTTTACTTTACCGCCCAGAGACAGTACACTGCAGTACTAAAAAAGCGTACACCTCTGAAATAACTATCTTTACATCAAGGTAATATAATGCAAAGATTCAAAAGATACAAAGAAACAAAGATACATAAGATACAAAGGTTCAAAAGTACAAAGATACAATGATACAAAAGATATGAAGATACAAAAGATATAAAGATACAAAAGATACAAAATTACAAAGATACAAAATTACAAAGATACAAAGAAACAAGGATACATTTGGATACAAGGATACAATGATACAAGGATACATTTGGATACAAGGATACATGGAAACAAAGAAAGATGTAAAAAAGTTACAAGAAACTTTCCTGGCATAACTTACCAAGTGTATTTAACTTCTAATACTCCTTCCAGTTCCATATACTTAACATCATATTTATACTAAAATTAAAATTGTTTCGCTATTAATTGATGATATTTTTAATATTATCATAATTTAAATAATTAAATTAAAAATTGAAAATATTGTGTCTAATTGAATAATCTTAATTGAGAAATTAAGATTTTAGTTTAAAATAAGTCAAAAAGTTAAACAATAACAAGGGCATAGAATGAAAATTTGGAAAGAAACATTTGTTGGACTGTTTGTTGGACTGTTTGTTGGACTGTTTGTTGGACATAAGTTGGATAAATTCATGGAAGACTTTTTGATTTTTATCCAGTTTATTTACAATGCTAGGCGGTCAAAATTGAAATGGAGAAATGAAATACAACTTTACAAGTTGACCGTTCAAATAAAGATAATTTTTAAAATCTTGCAATTGAGAATTTCTAAAAAATATAAGTCTTATATTTTTGTTCTACATAAAGTGCAAGATATGTTTACAGGCGCTGTATGTTGATGCTTTCATTATTTTGATTTATTACATAAAAGTTTTATACATGTTTCAAAAAACAAGTTCGACGAAATGACAATTTTTGCCTTTTATCAAATATTTTAATTGAAATATGATACAGTACATAAATCTTCTATAGCTAATAATTTTACAAATTATCTTTCATTGTCCAATTCAATTATCATAACTTTATCAAAATTATACAATTTTAAACATAAGGTATTGTTTAACTTCATAAGCATATTTGTGGCTTAATAACATCACCCCTCCCNCCCCCCCCCCGACCCATTTTTAATATCTTCTAACCATAACCTTTTCTCGACCAAAAATTTTAGCTTTTCGGACCATGAATACTGCAAATCTTGACAAAAAATCTAATTTTAAGAACATTCACCATCCATTGATAGCCTTAAAATGCAGGAAATTTCAAGATTTTGTCAATGTGACCATGTATTGTAAGTATTATCTATCTAAAAGCTATATTAAGTTTATATTGCACACATTGAAATATTTATACTGTACAAATTGAAATATTATTTTGAACATATTGAAATATTTATATTGTACATATTGAAATATTTATATTGTACATATTGAAATATTATTTTGTACATATTGAAATATTTATACTGTGCATATTGAAATATTTATACTGTACATATTGAAATATTTATATTGTACATATTGAAATATTTATACTGTACATATTGAAAATTTATATTGTACATATTGAAATATTTATATTGTACAAATTGAAATATTATATTGTGCATATTGAAATATTTATATTGTATATATTGAAATATTTATATTGTACATATTAAAATATTTATAGTGTACATATTGAAATATTTATATTGTACATATTGAAATATTTATATTGTAAAAATTGAAATATTATATTGTACATATTGAAATATTTATATTGTACATATTGAAATATTTATACTGTATAAAAATTGAAATATTTATATTGTATATATTGAAATCTTATATTGTACATATTGAAATATTATATTGTACATATTGAAATATTGAATCCAAAAATCTAAAAACTACAATGATAACGAGAAAACCCAGAAATAGGTTTACGACTTTAGAATCAAGTTTTAACTTTAAAAAGTCCTATCAGAATCTGAATAAGACACGACAATGGTGCACTGTAGACAAACCCATCTTACTAAATTAGAGATTTAACAAGATACTATAGTACAAGTATTTGCTTTGTAACAACATCAAATACACAAGTATTGTTATGATTTCTCACAGATAGATCTTTTTTCATGCACTACATTTTTAACAAAATGGAAAGGCCAAATTCTCAGAAATAAATTGTGAAACATTTTTTCAATGTTTTCTTATATTCTCGGGAGAGATTCTAAGATTTGACTTGTAAAATAATGATTTTGTTATTGTTATATATTGTTTAAAACCTGAGTTCACAGAAACGATGCCAATCTTTACTCAGACATACTGCCTCAATCCTTTATTCACATATGCCGGACTATATCTATATTTAGACCAACTTTCAGACATTAGATGTAAAATTAAGAAAAATTAAGAAGGCTAATGATACAAGGAAGCAGGTTGCACAGAAAATTTATGGCTGTTTCTAACCTACCACCAGCCAGGAAATAAAGCGGGGAAGAAATGTATGACCTATTTAAAGGGACCAAAATACGCATTTAAAAAAAAAACTACAAAAAACGTATGGCATTTTTAAAAATGTGCATGAATTTGAATTTGATTTTCATTTAAACTTTCTTATCATAAATTAGGTAAAGGTTATCCCAAGGTTGGAGTTCAGTGACGAATTCGATATCGTCTTTGTTATGAATTAGCATTGTAATACCAAATTATAAAAGCCATAATATTATTATGTCTGCTAGAGTTTATTTAATTAAAAGGGTAAAAGACTGCAAAAATGTGTCTATAATGTCTCCATTTGCAAAACTTTTGAGCAATTTTTGCGAAAGAAAGCGCAAATTTTCATTTTGCACAAAATTGCGCTATTCTGCTTTTGCCTTATTTTGTTTTGCCAATTTTGTTGAACAATACTTATTAAACAGTTGAAAAAAAGTGTAAACTGTATAAATAGTTATCTCTGAGATTACATTTTTTATATATAATTTCAATGCTTAAAAAGGAACTGATTTCTTGTCTAAAACTCTACTTTGCAATCTGATGCATGATGGCACACTGCAAATCGAGATATGTATGCTCTCACAGTATTTTGCGAATTGCTCCTTTTTAACTCAAGCTAGAAACAGGTCCGTAGCATTTTTTAAAATCTATTAGTCTAGGCCTACATTAAAGTATTTGTGAGTTGGCGAGGTAAAACCAAAGGTCAAGGCGCTTCGACACTTCAAAGTCAAGGCTGTTTAACACTTTTATGACTAAGTTTTAGAGAATTGTCTTAATTTGTCTTTTTGCTTTACACAAGGCTAATTAAAAGGAATATACCCAGGGTTTTGTGTTGCACCGTTATCCTTTCATTTTGATCTTAACTTTTGATAACCATTTATTGTGTTTAGACAATATGAACAATTGTTGATAGACATGTCTGCATTAATTTAATATTTATTTAAGAGAAAATTGATACATGTTTTGATGTTTTATGAACTGGATTTTTTTTTACATTACTATATCTGAATTTTTATTCTTTTTTAACGTCATGGAGTTTTTTTTGTTTGTAAATTTTTTGATCAACCTTAAGTTGTTTTGCGTAAAAAATCACGTTTTGCTCAAGACTTCCGGTTTTTTGGAAATTACCCAAAACAGAGGGACATAGGGAAAAGGGAGCTAAGGGACCCAGGGGGACAGGGAACAAAGTAGGGACAGGGGACATATGAGGGCAGGGGACACATGGTGGGAATAGGGAACATAGGACACATGGGAGGAATGGGATGCGGGGGGAACAAGAGGGGGGATCCAGTGGGGGACAAAAAGCAATCGAACGCAAATAATGTAAATAATTTTCAAGCAAAACTTGAGATTCAAAACGTTACTATTTCTAGCGCTTCATGCGGCCTATTTATAGATTTATTTTCAAAACTGATAACCAATAATTAAAGCTTTAGCAATATTTTACACCATAGGGCCATAAACAATATTTTTACTTTTATTTTAAGGAAAAAGCAATGTAAATTTGACATTTTCCTGATTACAAATTCAGGTGGTGGTGATTCCAAATTTTTGAGCTCGCATGCAGCAAAACACGTTTGGGTGGCTGTAATTACAAATTGAGGACTTCTGCACTCCCTTCTCGTTGACCTGTTCAAGGCAGCACAGGCGAATGAAATGGCACGGGACGCCAAACACACGCACAATTGAACAGACGCAACAGAACATCTTGAAAAAGTGTTCAATCAATCTTCTAAAAATAAAAAAAAAGATTGTTTGTCCCAGAGTAAAATAAATATATATCAAAATACAACAAAATCAGAAAACCCCATTCATCTAAAATACATACAATTCAATAATCACCTTCAAGAACCATGACATGGTAAATGTCTCTATGTTTCTAGCAAGGTCAAATCATTCCTTAATATTTAACTTTGAATCGATGGTTCAAATTTGAACAAGCAGTAGATAGTTCAGCGACGTGGCTCAAATTCATTAAATTTCATCCAGGTTGGTTTTACTTGGTTTGTTTCAACTCTTTTTCAATACTCCAGGAGTGAAACAAAGGATTGGGCAAACTGCAGAAACGAAACATAATGAAAATTTAATTTTATTTAAAACCTAAAACTTTAAATTGTGTGGTGTTAGAAATGAACCTTGAACCCAGTTTAAAACTAATGACCTCTGAAATTTTATTTTATCTTTTTATTTGTGGAGAATTTACAGCACAGTTTAAATCCCTCTTTGTTTACAGTTCTTCTTTACTGTATATTAATGTACTGTATTAATCTAGTTTACTTGTTTTGTTTTGAATATATAAACTTTACAAGTGTTTATTCTTTAAATAGTCTATATTGGTCCTATCCAATTGAACCCATTGGAATTTTTGACCTGGTGAATCACATTTTCATTCTGATGATTATTCTGAAAAACTTGTTGATTAAAAGTACTAAAAGCATCATTAGCAATATCAGCATTAATATTTACATCACCAAAACTCTCCATGTCATCAAATAAATTTTTCGAAACAGCAAAGTTATTTTCAAACCCCGTTTTTACTCCGTTGGATTGTTTGATATTTTGAAAAACTTGTTCATTCATAGAACTTAATGCATCATTTGCATTATAGGTATTCATATTTGCATCATCAAAATCCTTGTTGTTATCAACAAAGTTTTGAGAAACAACAACATTATTTTTAAAATCTGTTTCATCTTCCAAAAGTTCATCATTTCCTCCATTTCTATTGTCTGGTCCAGTGTCGTCATCTGCTCCAGTTTTATTATCTGCTCCAGTTTTATCATCTGCTCCAGTACTTTCGTTTGCTTCATCTTTATCGTCTACTCCAGAGTCATCATCTGATCCAGTTTTATTATTTGCTCCAGTTTCACCCTCAGCTCCAGTTTCATCTATTTCATCCTTGTCAACATATTCCAATGTTTCACTATGTACAAATTCGTCTTCACCAACGTCTGAATTTTCATCTTCTTCAATTGAATAATCATTTCCAAAAGTATTGCCCAGTACCTGAAATATTTTCAAAGTAAAATTGATTGATTAAAAAAAATTAACATCAGACATTTATTAAAAACTTTTTAATACTCTAAACAAGCTATTTTTCTGTCTGAATAAGTGCTGCCGCAGATTTCTTTTAAGTCAAATGAAACCATAAAGAAAAATGGTAAAATCTTCAGGAGTTAAGGACCGCCTAGCACAACCAAAATCTAGAGTTAAACTTTAATTTTATGATAAAAAATCTTACCAATTAGATTTTCGGAGAGGAAACAAAAATGTTGACGTTTTGAGAATAGTTTATGCTTGTGCAGGGTGTCCCAATAAACATTGGAATTTAGTGACGAATTCGATATCTTCTTTTTAAATAATTCTTTGATTTAGTATGGTGATGCCTGTAGCTGAAGCTGTAATCTGTAAGAGTTTCGTCTGCTATATTTACAATTTGTTTGTTTATGTTTTGACTGCATAAGGGAGTAATTAGTAAAACAAGAAAATTGCAGTATACAAACACAGTAAACTTGTCCGTCTTCACTGTTCATCTTGCGGATACATTATAGACACATCATTCTTTACAGCCATTTACCGTTTTCATAAAATAAACTCAAGCAGGCATAATAATACCATGGCTTTTGAAATCAGGTAATACAATGCTAATTCAAAACAAAGACGATATAGTGTTCGTCTCTGAATTCCCATATTTATTGGGACACCCTGTATTAAAGTTTTCAGTAAAATTGTTTATTTAGTAAATTATTTGTTCAAAAAAATCGTTCGTTTTGTAGATCGTTATTTAAAGTTTATTTGAATAATTTTAAATCGTTGGTTTTGTTTTTATTTGTTTTACAAAACGATCGTATTTTCATTTATCTGAACGATCAAGTTTGTCGTCTATCGTTCATTTTTACCTAAACAATACCATTGTTTACGAACAATTTTGGTCATCTACAAAATCTATATCTGTCTGTAATCCAAATCCCTATAAAGATTTACTCGTCTACCTTAATCTTACCAGTTCAGCAATGTAAGTTTGTTTAGATATACTGTGTTTATCCAAGGTTATGATGCAAGGAAAGTTAATTGCAGTTGTGTATATTCTGCGTACATAATGAAACCAGTTCTCTCTGGGCGGAATTTGTAAACAAGAAAAGATGCATCAGCGCAAAGGTGTAATGCAAGGAAAGTTAATTGCGGTCGTCTATACTCTGCGTACACATTGAAATTTGAAATTTGTAAACAAGAATAGATGCATCAGTGTTCGTTTAGTTTGCGAGGAGGTTAAAAGCATTAAATTTTGTTAATTTTGATAATTCACATAATAGTTTCCTATGACCAGAATATTTCAATGATTTTTTTCAGTGAAAGATGGATCCCATTCCCATGTCAGGCTTCGACATCCGTCTTGTTTTTACATTACCACCCAGAGACAGTACACTGCAGTAAAAAAGATGCGAACACCTCTGAGCCCGAAATTTAAAAGAGTATTGTTGAACGAAACTCCCAAGTTTCCTTTTTTGGGGTCTCATAACTTGTGTAGATTTTGATTTAAGAGGTTCTAAAAAATGGAAAATATGAAGAAACTAAATAAAATAAAATTTCATAACAAAAATATTAATATCCACAAAACTGCCTAACCCCATTTATGAAACCCTTGTTTCAAAACTGGTTTTCATAACTATACCCTGTCTTAAGTTTTGGGTTCTGAGCCCCAAACTTAAGACCGGGTATCGTTATGAAAACCAGTTTTAGAACCCGGGTTTCATGAATGGGGTTAGGCAGTTTTGTGGATATCAATATTTTTTTTATGAAATATTATTTTATTTAGTTTCTATATATTCTCCATTTTTGTCAAATCTCTTAAATCAAAATCTACAAAATGTTAAGACCCCAAAAAGGAAACTCTGGAGTTTTGTTCAACGATACTCTTTTAAATTTCGGACTCTGAAATATCTATATACCAGTTACACATTTACTTCAGCTTGAGAACCCAGTGTTTAGTGAATTCAGTAGACCCAGCAGGTTTTATCGACTAATTTAATCTCGCTGGGTACTTGTGATGGGCTATAAGTTTATGATACCTGAGGTGCATAAATTGGTTCAGTGGCTTTATGTTCACTAGGAGGTTTTCTTTGAGACAAAGCAGGAGAATCCTAGTATTAAATTGAATGTTATTTTTATGTTTACCAATTAAGGCTAAAAACTAAATAGCATTTAAAGGGAGTGTTCACGAAAAAGAAAGGTGGTATAAGCTTATGGCGAAAAATAAACGCTTTTGATCGCTACAAATCGTACTTCTCTGTTGCATCTACAAGGAGAAAATTGTTAAAAACTACCTATACTGAAGAACGTAGCTTCAATACAAATTCAGCAAGTTGCAATATACAATTTGCTTCATAAAATAATCAATTTAATCTCAAACAAATTATTCAGATACTACAGCCAAAGTCATCAATGATTTTTCGATGCATTCATATATAGTTAATATTTTATAATATTTGTAATTTGTTTTACATACAATGCACTTTTTTCCGCTAGGTATCTCTGCCACCTTTACTTGTGACTCATTCAAAGCATCGAGAGCAGAGACATCTGCCGGCCAACTATTTCGGCGTTGTATACAAAACGAATAAGAAATATTATGAAATATCAACTATATTTGAATGCGTCGAAATTGATGACCATAGGTTGTAAAATCTGATTAATGTGTTTAAATTCAATTGATTTTTAACGATCCGAGTCGTATATTGCAACTTTCTGAATTTGTACAGACGCTACATTCTTCAGTATAAGTCGTTTTTAACAATTTTCTCCCTATAGACGCAACAATAGATGAGTAGCGATCAAAAGCGCTTATTTTTCGCCGTAAGCCTGTACCCCCTTTTTATTTTTTGCGAACACTCCCTTTAAAAGAACTATAAGCTCTTATTTATAAGTAACCTTCCATGCGGCGTGCAAAGATGACAATGCCCTATTTACAACAGTACCCTTGAAAGCTTTGTCTGATCAAATATGAATTAGAAGTTTTTGTTTTTTAAAACTGTTTAGTTTTATTAGTGGTTTCTCTGCAAAGTGACTTCCGCTTTTTTTGATTACAAGAAAGGCTGAAAACTGGAAAGATATACAGAAATAAACACTTTTTAGACAGAATTTTTTATTTTTAATAAAAATATATAAGTAGAGTCTGAAGCACTTCTAAGCATATTTTCTTTATAGTTTTGCACTATTTTCATGGACAAAAAAGCTAGTTTAATACTAATCAGCTGATCACTTAATGGATGGAGGGATGGCAGTACATTGTAGTACCCTGTACCCTGAAGCAATCTGTATACTCTGTTACCATCACTTTCCATAAAAAGATTTGGGAATTACAAATTGGTGTTTTTTGCCATTCCTCCTCCAATGAACCATCCTTTGTTTAGTTTTAAACCATCAACAGAATCTCTTTTATACTGTTTTACACAAAAGTGCCGCCCAGAAAAGCTTCTTATAAGTTCTAAATATTTTTGTTCAAAATAAAAATTCTGTTTGGTTTGGCAACTTTATTTTGCAGAATCTTTCCTACTTTCTGAAAGGTTAACATCGGTATGTTTAAGGATATTTACTCGATATTAAGCAATATTTATTAATACTTATTTTGACTCAAACTGCTAACTAAATGAATATAGAAAAAATATGCCGGTTTAAGAAAGTTTTAGATAGATATTTTCAATCATCCAGAACAAAAAGTTTTGTCAATAATTAAACTTTAAAAGTTTTATAGAAGTTTTCAAAAAATATGCAAAAAAATCATTTCTGACACCCCTATGCTTAGTACGCCAATATAATTCACCAAAACCATACTGCAGTCCTTCAATTATCATACAGGGAAATGTTCACCTATCTAAACATCCCAGGGAAAGATTTTACAGGTTCTTTGGTATTAAAAAATGTCTAAAAGTAATTTAAAAACAATCTTGTTTTTAGAGACATCAAATTGAGCACAACCATTATTTTAAAGTTTTGATCCGTGCATAACATGAAATCGATCAAATTTTTAAGCTTAAGAAACTTAGACTTTTTAGAGAATATTTTATATTTTATTTTAACAGCGACTTGTTGCACCTTATAAAGTGACGTTATAAAATGTTTGAAATGGGTGAGCCGTGAAAAATTGAATCATCTATACTAATATCCTTATTCCCTATTAAAACTGGAAGGGAAAAACTAACGGCGTTTTGTTATACTTTCCCAAAGACATTTTCCCAATTGACAATTTCCCAAGCATGGCAAACTCCCAAATGTGCAATTTCACAAGTGGCAACTTCCCAAATGTACATTTTTAAGGTTAGGTTTGGGCCTTCTGAGGCGCAGCAAGTTGCAAGCCTGCAATGGAGAGGGCTAGGTTTGGCTAGAACAGACTTTGGAAGCGAGATTCAGCTTGCGGAAATGCACATTCGGAAAGTCGCCACTCGGGAAAATACATTTCGGGAAAGTGACTAACATAAAAATAACTGAGGATCTCTCCNTTTACTATTCAAAATAGCCCAACCATGATATGATTAAAACTTCCTGCGTGATTAGTTAAATTCCAGATTAAATGCCGCGTAGATAAAAGACGACCTCGGTTTCTGTCAGGCAAGTTTTTAACGAACAAAACATCTTTAAAACTACGTGTAACTACGCTGTGTTAAGTTCACATTGTAAATTAGCATTTAGTCCTATTTTATGACAATATTTGAACACTATTTTAAAGATAAATAAGGTAACTTTCAATCAGGATTAAATGCCGCGCATATGTAAGACGACCTTGGTTTCTATCAGGTAAAATTTTGACGAGCCAAGAGAGATGATACAAAGAAATGGGATGAGAACCTTCATTACAATCATCTAAATATCTAAATCTAAACATATATTAATGAATTAAGAAATATTTCTTAAAAAATTGTTATTTTATACAGTGGTCAGCGATTTTACCAACGAAGACGACTTTTATTAATAATGCTTTGATTCCTGAAGAGCATTTTTCAAATTATAAGTTTACAAGTAAACAAGAAGTCTTTAATTGACAACTTCTCTTTTTTACATATTTATGTGTTTCTACTATTTAAAAGATTGGTAGGGATAAAAATTGAAATATAAAGTCGTCTTTATTGTATTGATATATATACGACGACAACTGCATTTGTATTATTTTAATTTTTGGAAATCATAATGAAGTTTTTTAAAAAAATTTATTTGAAAAAATCTTAAAATTATTATTTTTATATCAGTTAACATTTTACCTCGTCAAAGAAAATGTTCAGCAACAGTAAAAAGTTTTCAATCCAAAATCTGGGTTTCAACTGGACATTTCAAGGATTTTTTGTTTACATATTTTATTCATGCAGATGATTAAAATATTATAAATAAGTTTAATGTGAAATAAATTGATATTTGATTCTCTTTTTAATTGATCTTCCCTAATTTCCTGAAAGGGATTGAAGATGTAATTTCAATTTTTACAATACACTACAATTAGGGCTGGACATGTTCATTTTTTTCTCCGTTTTGCTAATTGTTAGTTTCAACCGTTAAAAAAAATTCAGGTAGCCATTAGTTTTAAAGGTAAGAACGGAACAGTTGTTTCCTTAATGGTATTTTCTGTTTTTATCTTTAAGTTACCATTAGTTTACGATCTAAATTTTACCGTTAACGGAAGATATTCCGCTGTTTACGTTTTTTTTTTTAATTAAAATATTAAAATTTACATTAATGGTATAGTATGCAATTAAAGCAGAAAAAATAACGAAATTTTTTTCAACCTATTTGTTTCATATTTGTTTTCAAAAACAGCTAATCCGTTTTGTTAACGATTAAAAATTGACGGTTTTTGCCACTCTTCCGTTAATTTTTGAAAACCTGCGTTTCGTTAACGGAACTCTGCCCAGCCCTCATTACAAGACTATTTTTCATTTACCACAATAAACTTTAAGTTTTATTCTTAACTAGGCTAAAATGGCGCGTCAAGAAGAAGTGGCCACGGTTGTTTTTTTAAATTTATAGTTCGTTTTAACAAAAACCCCATTAATTTGTTTTAGAAATTTTCTTTCATTTTCCATCTATTTTGTTTGTTTTCTAAATGAGCCGTTGTTCAAATAAATCATTCGTTTTGTGAAAAAAACCCATGTTTTTTAAGCTTGTCCGAAAATAATTGTTCATTCAGTGAAAAGCAATAGTTTCTCAAAAGTTCGGTCAAAAAATTCATTCCTTCATTAGATAAAGAAAATATTTTTTGAAGATTTTTGAGATCTAAAGCAAAAAATGTCTAAATGTTGAAAAATTTATTTCAGCAAATATTTAAAATTTAAACTTAAAGAATTAGGAGGTATGCATGTGCGCTAAGTATAATTTACTAAATAAAGGCACTTTAAACAAAAAGCAAAATGGTAATATTGGGATAATTACCTTCTCAAAAAGGCCTAGAGTAAATCCTGGCTTCATTTGAAGTCATCTTAAAAATGAAATATGGAGATTTGACATTCCTAGAAGTCTGATTTTATTTGATATGTTACAGTGGATATGGTAATGATTAATAATTTCACGACATGATTAGTGTAAAAATAATATATACTACGACGGCAGATTGTTAAAAAAGGGCTGTCGTAATCAATTAATGGTCGTTGTTAATTGGTCGTTTTAGATCGCTAAAGAAGATTTGTTGTTAACGATCGTTGAGTAGTGTTGACTGTTGATGAACGTCAAAACTAAAAAAAACCTACCTTCGTTAACTAAATGACGAACTAAAACTAAACAAACTACTTTTTCTTATTTTTAAATTTTTTTTAAAGATTTAGACCTAGCCATGAGATCTCATTTCTAGTAATCAAACAACCACAGGCATTTGTGCCGGTGAGCGGTAATTGTAGAACAAATTTAGTTCTCTCTAAAACTGACAAAAAAGGATTTTACCAAAAATATTTTTCCTTGCAAAAATAGAATATATTTACCCGAAAAAAATCTTACATCGGAAATCACGATAATTCAGTCAAGGAAATTCATAAAAATTGAGCTAGCCATTGCCGGGAACCAAATTGGCTAAATTGGGCAATGCCGGGTACTCCATCTATGTGATAAGGTTCTTTGTTCATATGTATGTAATATCTATATAAATTTTTACATAATGCTTTTTAAGAATTTTGTTGTATCATTCATAACTACAACTAGAGATGGGCGCGTTTGACTGTTTTTATATTGTTCATTTATCGTTCTTGAATGACCCATTTCGCTCGGTTTCCTTTAATCGTACACAAAAATATTAATTTTGTTTGTTCTCACAATTATCGTTTATTCCCCATATATTTCATTCTCATCTCACTGCACAATCGTTCGGTATCGTCATTCAGTAAAATAGTCCGTTCAGGAAAATTGTTCGTTCAATAAAATCGTTCGTCTGTAAAAAAAAGTTAATTTGTGTTCATTTCCATCTATTTTTTCAAACGATTTTTCAGAACAAATTTTTAAATTCAATTTCATTGAACAAACGATTTTACTGAACAAAAATTTAATTTAACGTTCATTCAGTTAGAAAATGAACAAAACAGATAAAAAATTGACGTTGATTTTGAAAACGAATGAATTAAAATTTTTCTGAAAAACTGAAAAAACGAATGAAATGGGGTTTTAATGAATGATAAACGAACAGATGAAAAAAAGCTAAATTCACCTATCTCGATCTATATAGTTTGCCAAACGGCTCAAAAAAATTGGCTGGAATTTCTTTAGAGAATTCCATGGGTACCCTAGGGGTGACAACTTACCAAAACCCGTATTTTACACGAGTGATATTTCATTGTGAATTGTCGAAGATTTTATCACAGGACTCTAGGACCGAGTTTTCAGACGGAGAAGAATTGAGTTTATTTCACGAGATATACACAAGATTTACACCAGAAAATATTTTTAAAGCCCGGGATAAAAAGATAGTTCTTAGTACATAAATATTTTATAAAAAAAAACTATGTAAGTATATAAACATCACAAAACGTTTAGAAGCTAAACAATTAAGTTTTTATCTTTAACATTTAACATCTTGATTATTGAACATGTAAACTTTCAATGGTCAATATTCACTTATTTATATTTTAAGTTTACATAATGTTCAACTATATTTATGTAGTTCATAAATACTTGCAGGCCCCTTTCTACTTATATCTAAAATATGGATATTCCAAAAAGGGGTTGTTGAGAAAAACAACATAAAAATCAATGTGAAACTTTTCTATACTTTGCTGTTGTTTGTTTTAATCTGAAAATTTACGAGAATTAAAATCTAGATATTCTGGCAAGGTATTACTCATGTTTAACACGTTAGAAATATGGGAGATCTTGCACCGGTATCTTTGCTACGAACACAACATGTGAAAAAACGGGAATTTTTCTAGAATATTTTACTCATTTTTACCCGTGCTTTACACAGGATGAATCTTCAAGATTGTGAAAAGTAGCTATACCACGAGTATAACACAAGGTGGGGTTGTAAATTAATCACGTGAATTATCAACCAGTTATCCACCATGGCTAATCTCGTCAAAAACCTGTTTTTAACTGGTTGGGTAATTGCTTCAAAAAATGAAATGTTTGAAATTCCATGGACAACGCCGGGCACTTCATCTAAAATCGTAATTTTAAGAACAAGTGAGGATAAACAGCTAAAGTAACAAATGTAAGCTTCAGCCAGTGCCTAAATAAATAAGCTTTTAAATTATTAAAAGTTGATATAATTTATGTCATTTGTAAGAGAAAATTTAGTTAATTGGAATTAAACAGATTCAAGGTTAATGATAGTTAAAATAAAATGAAATTAGTCTAATCTGAACTAATTATTATCTGAATAAAATATAATTACTTGAGTTTGAAGCACCCCTGACCCTGCTATAAGTTCTAATGATGATGTTAAAAATAATTGACAATAAAGCTCTGTAGGATTCAAACGCTTCAGTTGTAATAAAAAGGTGGAAATATATATATATTGTATTCTGTGTACACAAATATTTTTTTAATTAAAGGGACAGTACACGAAAATTGAAGTGACCCTCCATTTTTAGAGGGCTATATTTGGATATGCTTGTTAATACTATTATTGATGGTTAAACTATATTGAGCTACTTCTGTCTTAAACTTGAATCAGCATATAATAGAAGTGTAGTTCATCTAGGTCTTTGCAGTTTAACTACAGTGAGAAAAAGAACCCTAAGATCATGAATAAAGAAACGACTTTTAGACTCAAGGAACTCAAGTTAGACTTTAAATAGTCCATAAACATGAGATTGTTAAGTGCAAACTGACCCATTTAACATAATAACTGAATGAATAAAACCATAGATAAATAACAATACAGAGAGAAAACTAGATGTCGTCTTTTAAGATTTAGGGGTTTTTCGTTCACAATAATCCAATTAATATCTAACTTCTGTGGGTTTCCGCGTCTCAGGATTAGAAGGAGCGAAAAATCACTAAATCTTGAAAAGACAACATCTGATGTTCTATCTGTATTGTTATTAATCTATGGGTAAACCTATTTACTTTATTGCGCATAATTATTGCTATAATATTGTCTTCCTATTCCACAGTTTTTTGGTTTTCACTGTATGTCTTCGTCAATCTGAATTCAGGGCACATTAACAAGCTATACAATCTGAGGCCAAATTTAAAGAATTTGAGCCGCGGCTTAAACATGGTTGGTTCGACTTTAAATTGTATCAGTTTTTTTGAGATTTGAGCCGGTGCTCAATTGGAACCGGTTTTTGGCGGGTCAGCGACGCGGTTTAAATTCTTTAAATTCGGCTTTTGAGCAAAATTCGTAATTTAACGATAGAATACTATGTTAAATATTTCACTTTTTTCTGGTTCTCACTGTATAGCCTGGTAATTTATCACACAGCTTTGGATAACATTTCAAAATGATATGTTTATTTGAAAGTAACTTACATAAAGAAATTAGACATTTTTAAAATTGGGTAAAATCTCTTGTTTAAATTTCAGACAGAATGAAACTGATGGTTGCTTTAGCTGTTCTATATTCTCTGGAGGGGTCCACTGCTAAAACCTATTTAATAGAAACTCTTGTGAGAATTATTACCTTATAATTAATTATTAGTAAAAATTTCAAAAGTTTCTCAAGCAGACTTTTTTGTCATGTAGAGTGTTTTGAAGGTGATTTTTTAAAGGAGTTTTGTTATTATTTCACTTTCTAAACTTAAAAATTGAATAATAAAAAGCTATTCCTGGCAAGCCACATTTTTACATTCTTATGACATAAATAGCCGCCTACAAGGGTATGTATTTCAATGTGACAACTGGGGTATGGGGTAATGATAATCGAAACTTTTACACTGTGATTATGATTTCAATTTAAAAACTGTGCTTCTATCAAAAGTTTAAAAAATTTAAATCATCATTATTTTATTATTCTGTACACTGCTAAACAAATTTGGATTGTTTATATTTAATTGAATAGTGTAATCACACATTTATTTACATGTTGTCTATAAATACACTATAGTTTCAGTAGAAGTAAATATTTCCATTTACTGTTATAGCGCCAATATAAGGATTTATTTCTAATTGGATAATGAGTTAGATAGAAAGATAGATATTACCGTCATGCAATTTCTATTGGTTCAGTAAAGACACCAAACACATAGTTGAACTCTGATTGGATCAGGCGCTAATGGACTCGGCAAACTAGAGTATTTTTCAACAAAATTGTCAGACTTACTTAACTTGTAAAGTAGTTTTTAATTTATAGAAATTTCAAAGATTTAAAGCAACAGAAATTTCAATGCTTTACATTTGTACGTATCTCTGTATTGTCCTTAATAAATTTTAATCTTTATTAGGATAATGAGGGAAGTATGGAATGGGAAGCACAAGCAGGAGAAGCAAAATGGGAGGAAAAAGGAGCTGAATGGGAAGATAAAGGAGCTGAATGGGAGGATAAAGGAGCTGAATGGGAAGATAAAGGATCTGAATGGGAGGATAAACCACAGTGGGAAGACAAACCAAACTGGGATGAAGGAAAGGAAGAAGCTGAAGTAGGAATTCCAGTTCCAGAAACTGCTGCTTCTGGTTATGATGCACCTGTTCCTGGTGCTCCTGAAGATGCTCCTGGTTATGAAGTTCTTGCTCATGAAGCAGCTCCCGTTGATGTTCCCACTGAAGACTCTTCTGATGCATATACACCTGCTGAAGTTGTTACCACTCCAGGTGCAGCCGCCCCAGCAACTCCAGAAGCTCCAGTAGCTCCAGCAGCTCCAGTAGCTCCAGAAGCTTCAGCAGCTCCAGACACTCCTGCTGCAGGTGCTCCAGCAGCTCCAGCTGCTCCAGCTGCACCATCTGCTCTGGCTAAAGATGATCCAGCTTATAAAGCTAAAAAATGAAATTATCAACTTTCACCATCAGTTTAAATCAATATTTAAATCAAATAAAGTTCTATGATTTTTATTAAGACTGAAGTGTACTTTCTACCAAACTTCCAGGGAGGGGGGATGATTGTCAAAGATTTTGGGAAAAGTAAAACTTGAACATGAACAGGCAAAGTGATAAAATCAGTGATAAAAAAGTTTCCATTGCTACCAAACTGGCAAAAAAAAATGTTTATGCATAGGGGGAAAATCATTTTTGAGCAAAGTATACACCCCTTATTCTTCAAGGGTTCAGAAAAGGTCCTTCATTTGCAGCTACATCAGAAACAATGTACTAGACCAAAATATATTCATTGCAAGCATTAAAGAACCCTCCCTTGCACACATCCTAGAAATCCAAGGAAGTACATTGACATGATTGTTGTACAGTGGATTTTGAATACAAATAAAAAGGAAGTTAAGAACTTTTTCAATAAATATTTCATCAATAGTACATGTATGTTTTATTTCAAAAAGAATTGTTTTATTGTTACGACTTTAATACCAGTTTCAATATGCCCTTCATTTATAATCTCAATATTTGTTCCTCTTGACCATTTTTGCAGTCTATGTACAAATATTCGGACATTGCCGCTCTGTCATCTGTGTACATATTTAAAATATAAACTTGTGTTTGATAAAACCTGAGTTTTGAAAGTCTTTCCTAATCTAAAAACACAAATTCAAATTTAAAATGAATAAAAGGATTAGTTTTAATTGTAAAATTATGAATTTACAGCTGTTTTAAACTCTAGAATGGAGGTTTTAGCCCCTGCTAATAAAAAACTTTAAATGCTTATTTGACACCCCTGACATACTATTTGTATTTATAACCCAAATAAAATTTTTATTTAAAGTACTTAAGTACACTCAAGGAAATGAAAAATATGCAGACCAATGAAACAACAAATGTTTTCAATAAGTGAGAGCAGAAAAGGAAAAACGGTATTATAGATATTTATAGTAACCCTTTTGCACTGGGAGGCTTTGCACTAGAAAGCCGAGAGCCTCTTGAAATCTTCAACGACATGACTAAGATTTTAATAGGTTCAAGAAAAGTCCAATATTGGTGTTCCGACAGTGTATTTAAAAAGCCAAAATGGCTTTCCCATATTTCTGGACAATAACATGCTTATTTCTACCTTGGTGCATTTAGGTTAAATTAACAATTTATATTATAAAACAAAAATTATTATTCAGGTTTTAAACAGAAATTCTTTTTAAAAATATTCTAAAATGATTTGTTTATTCAAAGATTACATCAGAATTAATCATTTTAATGCTTCGGTGCTTATAAATATATCTAAAAATCCCTTTAACTATTAAGAATTTAAAAAAATCTTGAAAAATGTAGTTCGCTTTTAATCCTACTTCAGATTATTTTACTTTGCGCTCCATTTTTATTAACAATTAGCTTAAAACTGTTGTTCTTCAAGTTGCCATTTTTTTCTTATTTTTAACTAACAAAAAGTTCGCGAATTTTTCTATTTAAATTGATGCATTTTCAAAAATTATAAGTGTCAACATTTATTCCAATCAAAATATTTTAACTTTAACGGTCCATAAATCTTTCTCGGGGTCATGTGAGTTGCCAAACAAATTGCTCAGCCTTGATGACATTTATTGAATGGAGACAAACAATCAGACAAGCCAAATATATATTTAGATTAGCTTATTGCTATAAATCTGCTTAGTACTCGTAAAATTTAAAGCTTTTTAGAGCTTTAAAGGGAGTGTTCGCGAAAAATGAAAGGGGGTATAGGCTTAATGGGATAAAAAAGCTCTTTTGATCGCTACTAATCTTACTTCTATCTGTTGCGTCTATAAGGAGAAAATTGTTAAAAACGACAAATACCGAAGAACGTAGTGTCCATACAAATTTAGAAACATGCAAAAATTTATTTAATTTCAAACAAATCATTCAGATATTACAACCTATAGTCATCGATTATCTTTCGCCACATTTGTATATAGTTGATTTGTCATAATATGTTTTAATTGTTATGATCTGAGAGTTACTTATAAAAACATTTATTCCTGTTTCGAGGATTTTTGGTAATGAAGACGACATTTTAATATTTTCAAGGAATGTTCGAAAACAAGTTGTAAGCTAAATATTATTTTCAAAAATAAAATCAAAACATATTATGAAAAATCAACTATATCCAAATGTGGCGAAAGATAATCGATGACTATAGGTTGTAATATCGGAATGATTTGTTTGAAATTAAATAGATTTTTTTACGGTCTAAGTCGTATGTTGCCTCTTTCTGAATTTGTATGGACACTACGTTCTTCGGTATTAGTCGTTTTTAACAATTTTCTCCTTATAGACGCAACAGTAAGATTAGTAGCGATCAAAAGCGCTTTTTTATCGCATTAAGCCTATACCCCCTTTCCTTTTTTGCGAACACTCCCTTTAGCAAGGACAATGTCTTTTCAAAACACATGAAATGGAAAGCATTAAGTTCCAAATATATACACTTAACATATATACTGTATATATATTTCTTTTTTTTTCTAATACTAACTCATTGATCAGGATTAAATCAATTTTTTTTCCAGTTAGCTCCCTTTTTGCCTTTCCAATCTGCTCCTTTCCAATTAGACCCTTTTCCATTTTTGTCCCATCCAGCCCCTTTTGCCTTTCCTTTTCCTTCATTGGTTTCTGAATAAGTTGATTCAGATTCTCCGAAGATTTCTTTGTTTGATTCTTTGTCATTGTCAGCATTATTATTTCTTTTGCCTTCTACTTTGTATGGTTGAGGTTCATAAGTTTTAGAAGATTTCCCTGAGCCTGTGGAAGATGTTTCTTCTGTGTTCTCACTTTTCTCTGATTCTTGAGTACTTGATTCAGAACCTGTTGAAGATGTTTCTTCTGTGTTCTCACTTTTCTCTGATTCTTGATTACTTGATTCAGAATCTGTTGAAGATGTTTCTTCTTGGTTCTCACTTTTCTCTGATTCCTGATAACTGGATTCATAGCCTGACTTGGAGCCCTTCCCACCCTTTTTCCAGCCAGCTCCACCCTCTTTCCAGCCAGCTCCACCCTCTTTCCAGCCAGCTCCACCCTCTTTCCAGCGTGCTCCACCCTCTTTCCAGCCAGTTCCCCCTTCCTTCCAGTCAGCTCCACCTTTCTTCCAGTCAGCTCCACCTTTCTTCCAGCCAGATCCACCCCTTTTCCTTGCATATGTGCTTACATTTTCATTGGTTCCTCCTGTTTTACTAGTCTCAGAATTCACGTTTCCATTTTCAGTGCCTTCGTATGTTTCAATAGTTTCTGAATTCACATTTTCATTGGTTCCACTTGTTTCTGAATTCACATTTTCATTGGTTCCACTTGTTTCACTTGTTTCTGAATTTGTGTTTTCATTGGTTCCACTTGTTTCACTAGCTTCTGAATTGGTGTTTTCATTGGTTCCACTTGTTCCACTTGTTTCTGAATTTGTGTTTTCATGGGATCCACTTGTTTCACTAGTTTCTGAATTGGTGTTCTCATAGGTTTCACTTGTTTCACTTGTTTCTGAATTTGTGTTTTCATTGGTTCCACTTGTTCCACTTGTTTCTGAATTTGTGTTTTCATGAGATCCACTTGTTTCACTAGTTTCTGAATTGGTGTTTTCATTTCCAGTGCCTTCATACGTTTCATTAGTTTCTGAATTCACATTTTCATTTGTTCCACTTGTTTCTGAATTGGTGTTTTCATTGGTTCCACTTGTTCCACTTGTTTCTGAATTTGTGTTATCATTGGTTCCACTTGTTTCACTAGTTTCTGAATTGGTGTTTTCATTGGTTCCACTTGTTCCACTAGTTTCTGAATTGGTGTTCTCATAGGTTCCACTTGCTTCACTTGTTTCTGAATTGGTGTTTTCATTGGTTCCACTTGTTCCACTTGTTTCTGAATTTGTGTTTTCATGGGTTCCACTTGTTCCACTAGTTTCTGAATTGGTGTTCTCATAGGTTCCACTTGCTTCACTTGTTTCTGAATTTGTGTTTTCATTGGTTCCACTTGTTCCACTACTTTCTGAATTTGTGTTTTCATTGGTTCCACTTGTTCCACTAGTTTCTGAATTGGTGTTTTCATTGGTTCCACTTGTTCCACTAGTTTCTGAATTGGTGTTTTCATTGGTTCCACTTGTTCCACTAGTTTCTGAATTTGTGTTTTCATTGGTTCCACTTGTTCCACTAGTTTCTGAATTTGTGTTCTCATAGGTTCCACTTGTTCCACTTGTTTCTGAATTTGTGTTTTCATGGGTTCCACTTGTTTCACTTGTTTCTGAATTGGTGTTTTCATTGGTTCCACTTGTTCCACTAGTTTCTGAATTTGTGTCTACATTTTCATTGGTTCCACTTGTTTCACTGGTTTCAGTGCCTCCGTATGTTTCACTAGTTTCTGAATTGGTGTCTACATTTTTACCGCCTCCGTATGTTTTAATAGTTTCTGAATTGGTGTCTGCATTTTCATTTGTGTATCCTCTTTTTGTTCCCATATCCATGTAATCATTACCAACGTAACCTTTTGGAGCTTTTGTTGCCAATGTTACAGGTGCTGGTGGTGCTGGAGTTGCTGGTGTTGCATTTGCTGTGTAAACTGGTAGTGGTGCTAATGGTGCCACAGTCACACTATCCTAAAATTGGAATGATTGTTCTCCTAAACAGTTGGGGTTCTGAAATACTTTCTCGCCCTGAAAAACGAGTAAAAGGCCTTTTGCTTGTCTTCTGCCTTATAAAAAGCGAACAAAAGGGCTTTTCCTCGTTTTCTGCCTTCTAAAAAGCGAGCAAAAGGCCTTTGTTCGTTTTCTGCCTTAAAAAAGCGAGCAAAAGGCCTTTTGCTCGTTTTTTGTCTGATAAAAAGCGAGCAAAAGGCTTATTGCTCGTTTTATGATAAAACCGAGCATAATCCGGTCTAGGGATCTGGGCGTTTTCTAGTCCTAGAAACCATTAATTTTGAGATTCCAATTGTTATAGAAATCGCTCTGTAATGTTTGTTCTCTTTTTCTCTTTTTTTACTTTTCTATTCATGATTTTGCTTATGTCTGCATTTAATTTTAATCATATTTAATGTCTGCAAATATGATTTTTGACGTTTTAAAACGATAGTTTTTTTTTTTTTTTTTGTAACTTATATTTTCAGCTAGGACTACGAATTTGCATGTTTGATAAAAGCAACTTCTACAGAATATAATTTTGAATCTTAGATTTCGTAAACCTTTTAAAATCTAAAAATATTAACTGTTTCCGTTAAACTGATCTAGCTATTGCCCATCGCTAACCGTAGGACACTGATTTTTTAATGTCCGCTCAAATGTTTATACTAAAATGTTTTCAGTTTTTGGTTTTGAAGAGATTCGAGTAAAAGTGCGTGCCAGACGAAAATATTTACATGCATTATTTAAAATAAATAAATTAAATCCCTTAAAAATTATATTTAAATTTAAAAAGGATACATAAAAACGCTAAAAAAATTACATTACAATTATATCACATAGATTTACAATTCAAAATTTAAATTTTTTTTGTATTTAAAAATCAATTGGAAATTTTCTAATAGTTTTTTGTATATCTATTAATGAGATATCTTTTTATAATTAGGAATAATTAAATATCTTTGTATAATCAAGGATTAATGAGATATCTTTGTATAATCAAGGATTAATGAGATATCTTTGTATAATCAAGGATTAATGAGATATCTTTGTATAATCAAGGATTAATGAGATATCTTTGTATAATCAAGGATTAATGAGATATCTTTGTATAATCAAGGATTAATGAGATATCTTTCTATAATCAAGGATTAATGAGATATATTGATATAACAAGGATTAATGAGATATCTTTGTATGATCAAGGATTAATGAGATATCTTTGTATAATCAAGGAATAATGAGATGTCTTTGGATGATCAAGGCTTAATGAGATATCTTTGTATGATCAAGGATTAATGAGATATCTTTGTATAATCAAGGAATAATGAGATATCTTTGTATAATCAAGGATTAATGAGACATCTTTGTATAATCAAGGATTTATAAGATATCTTTGTATGATCAAGGATTAATGAGATATCTTTGTATGATCAAGGATTAATGAGATATCTTTGTAAAAACAAGGATTTATAAGATATCTTTGTATAATCGAGGATTAATGAGATATCTTTGTATGATCAAGGATTAATGAGATATCTTTGTATGATCAAGGATTAATGAGATATCTTTGTATGATCAAGAATTAATGAGATATCTTTGTATAATCTAGGATTAATAAAATATCTTTGTATAATCAAGGATTAATGAGATATCTTTGGATGAGCAAGAATTAATGAGGTATCTTTGTATAATCAATGATTAATGAGATATCTTTGTATGATCAAGGATTTATGAAAACGAGCATTAAGCCTTTTTCCCGCTTTTTATAAAGCAGAAAACGAGCATCAAGTCTTTTGCTCGTTTTTTATAATGCAGAAAACGAGCAAAATTCCTTTTTATAAGGCAGAAAATGAGCATTAGGCCTTTTGCTCGTTTTTTATGAGGTAGAAAACGATCATTAAGCCTTTTGCTCGCTATTTATACAGCAGAAAACGAGCATTAAGTCTTTTGCTCGCTTTTTATAACGCAGAAGACGAGCCAAAGTCCTTTTGCTCGCTTTTTATAATGCAGAAAACGAACATTATGCCTTTTTCTCGCTTTTTATAAGGCAGAAAATGAGAAAAAGTACTTTTGCTCGCTTATTAAGGGCGAGAAAGTGTTAGAGTTCCCCAATTCCTAAATATTTCGAAAATATTACAGATATTATACAAGGGCAAAGTATAAGGAAAGGGTAATTTTAACACGCCCGTTTCTTAATCTGTTTTACCCAGCAAACCACAGAATGTTACATTTAGGTGTGAATGTTTAAGTCTTGGGTAAAAATTAAATTTAAAAAATTTAAAAAATAAATCAACTTTAAACTTTTTTATTAATTTGATTAATGTGTAACCTTGGTTTCAATAAGATAGCTTTTAGAAGTGGATTGTTGACAGGAGAAGAGAACAAGTGAACACACTAGAAATCCTTTCATGTCTGAAACTGTCTAGTAGATGTGAAAATATCCTAAAATAATGTAAAGTCATTTTTTAAATTGCCAACAATAAAATAATGATCAGAATGTTAGGAAAAAGTTTATAGCCTTTACATTCTGTATGTAATTTTAAGCCATAATTATGTAATTTTAAACCATAATTATGTAATTTTAAAACATATTTATGTAATTTTAAAACATAATTATGTAATTTTAAACCATAATTATGTAATTTTAAATACTTTGGGTAATCTATGTAGTACAAGAAATGGTTGCTCGGGAAATATGCGGGGACTGTGGGGACATCTTTAAAGAGCTCCATAAAATATTCAATAAAAAAAAAACTAACTTTTTGCGGCATTCCATTATCAAGAGATTTAGGAAACGACATTAGATAAATTCTTCCAATGTATTTTAAATTTAGGGTTTAACTGTTCGAAATTTTAAACCAAAGTTATGTAATTTTAACTACTTTGGGTAATCTATGTAGTACAAGAAATGGTTTCTTCTTGAAGTCTAGAATTTACCAATCAATAGTGTTAAAAACATATCAACATTTCTAACGATAAACTTACTGTGTGACCCAGAAGTGTTTACAGCCTAAAATGGTGCTACTTTTGTATTGTTTGAGGCCAAAAATTATACTTTGAAATTAGTTTTACAAAACAAACAATCAACATTTTAATGACAGTGTTTTAAAAAAATGTAGTTTAGTCATCAGAGATTTAAATTCGAATGAATCAAAAGTGTTATAAGATTACTTAAAATGGCTTTTACACATAAAGTTCCATGACAAAAAATATTCTTACCGGACACAATATCATTAAAAAACGATTAATCACCTAAAAAATTTAAATAATTGAAATCAATAAAAGCACTTTAGGATCAGTTAGTTTAAGTAAAATAGCACAGACAAATTGATTTAACTTTACTTTTACCAGTTATTTTGAAGAAAACATTGTAGGTATTAATATTTCTATCACCTCTATGGTATTATTTTGTAAAAGTTTTTACACAAGGGGGGGAAGACTTTTTGGATTGTAAACAGTTTCGGGTCGCACATTATGTTTTCCTCTCTTGTGATGGGATTTAAACAGAAACTGCCATCACTTTTGGTTTAGAATTAAAATCCTTTTAAAATTAACTAATATATGAAACATTATCTGTAATCTGTGTATGCATGATAATTATCCCAATTATATATCATAATAAGTAAGAAATTTCCACAAAAATCCAAAAAAATAATAAGAAAAATAGGAAAAATTATGCATGTTCTAATTATAAGATTTCTGGACAGATTAACATATCAGCTCTTTTAATGATGTAATTGGCACTAACTTGTGTCATAGTATCTATTGCTAGTTATCTAAAAAACTTCAGTCTTAAAAGGATGAAAAGAAATTTTAATAAGACGAAGATTTTACGTAAATTCTTTAAGATTAAGGTTAAAACAAGCTAAACGAGAAAACCACTACACTCTATTCACTTTTAATTATTTTAGAACTTGATCGTATTTGAATTTTATTTTCATGTTCACTTTAAGATTATGTAACACAGTAAAAAATTGAGATTTTTGCTTTTTTGATTTTCTTCGAAATATGAAGATGATGGGAATACAAAAATATAATTAAGGAAATAAAATTTAACAAGGTTTCTTTAAGATTATGAAATCTACACTGTCCTTTGTTTAATTTTTATTTTATTGCCTTATTAAAATAATGTTGTTAACTTGAATTATTATATCATTTTTTATAATCCAAAATTAGATGTTTAAAATCCCTGATACTTTAGAAACATTTTGGTTAATTCCCAACCACCAAATTTAATAATAAGACAAGAGATGCTCAATTAGTAAACTTTTATTATTATCTAATAATGAAAAAAGTAACAAAAGATAAACAATACAAGAACATCAGAAGAAACTTTTGAAAAATTACTTTCCTAGGGGGGGGGGGGGGGGGTCAGCACCCACCCCTCATACCTCTTTCTCTTTTTATGCCCTTGCTCTTACTTCAAATTAAGGTGAACAAAATTATATAAATATTTAATCCTTTATTCATTTTAATTTTTTCCATGATCCCATGCACTACACTGCAACAAAGATTTTGAAATATGCATATTTTTGCAAAATTTCCAGGTTTAAAGCCATTTTTCATTAAATTTCTGTGATTTTAAATTTTATTAATTAAAGAAATAGTAAATTAATATGCTCTTTAAAAATATCTGCTCTAGGAAAAAAGTAAATGAAAAGATGCAATGTTTTATTGCTCAACACTTATGACTGAGTAGGATTCTTGAAGCTTAGTTGAATATTCTGTTTTCTACGAAAATCTTAAAGAAAGATACAGAATAGAAAGTCAATTAGCACCTATACTCACTGGGCTGTATTTGCGTTGTAAAAAATATATACCCGGAAAACAATATCGCTTCAGTAACTCTTGACAGTAAAATTCCTCTAAACAGTTAATGATTGCTCTTAACTTTATTAAAGTAGAAAAATTATGAATACATAATTAACTTCAATACTACTTAACAGTTGTATCCCTGTATCCCTGTATCCCTGTATCCCTGTATCCCTGTATCCCTGTATTCCTATATTCCTGTATTCCCGTATCCCTGTATCTCTGTATCCCTGTATCTCTGTATCTCTATATCCCCTATCTCTGTATCCCAGTATCCCTGTATCCCTGTATGTCTGTATCTCTGTATCCCTGTATCCCTGTATCCCTGTATCCCTGTATCCCTGTATCCCTGTATCCCTGTATTCCTGTATCTCTGTATCCCTGTATCCCTGTATCCCTGTATTCCTGTATCTCTATCCCAGGATTCCTGTATCCCTGTATCTCTGTATCCCTGTATCCCTGCATCCCTGTATCTCTGTATCTCTGTACCCTGTATCTCTCTATCCCTGTAACCTGTTTCCATGTATCCCTGTATCCCTGTACCTATCTCCTATCTGAAATTAGCTGAGTTAGAAAGAATTTACCTGAGTCAGTATATTTGGATAGGTTTAGGCTAAATATCAATAATTACCTTTATATGTCAAAGAATCCTGTGTCAAACTTTTAACTTATATTTTTTCAAATTTAGATTTTTATAAAATAAATACTAAATCTTGCGGCTTTTAAAACATGTTGTTAGAAGTTCAGATTTAATTGTCAGTTTTTAGTTTTTAGTCATGTTCCAGAGCAATCTATATTTTCAGATAAACATATTTACTTGCTTTAAAACTTTAAAATAGATTAAAGATTAACTGAACTCATATCAGTAAACTCTAATTATTTATTTAGTTGATAACCAATGATAATATTGATAACCAATGATAATATTGATAACCAATGATAATATTGATTAGTAATTTTACTTTGTTCATTTAAAAGGTTTCCCCTCCCAGAAAATGTTATGGAACAAAATTTAATATTCTAAAAATGCAAGACTTTGCAATATTCCAGAAAAAAAAATAAAAAATTAATTTAGGAAGATATAGGTATATTTTAAATGTTTGAATTCTGGAAAAAAGGAAAGCAATAGCAGGAAAAGTTGGGAAAAGTCAAGGTACTAATGCAAGGAAAGTTATGCGCGGTCGCGTATACTCTGCGTACATATTGAAACCAGTTCTCTTTGGGCGGAATTTGTAAAGAAGAATAGATGCCAGTGTTCGTCTGGTATTCGAGGAGGTTAAAAGCATTAAATTTGATAATTTTGATAATTCACAGAATATTTCATAGATTATTTGTGAAAATTGAATCCCATGTCAGGCTGGGACATCCGTCTTGTGTTTACTTTTCCGCCCAGATACAGTATACTGCAGTACAAAAAATGCGTACACCTCTGAAATAACTTTCCTTGCATTAGTACCTTGGGAAAAGTCAAGTCCTGTGCAAGGCTAATTTTTAGATATTTTATGGTAATTAATGGGAGAAAGGAAGTGGGTTGACAGCAGAACATTTTCAAATTTTTTAAGTGAGGAGGGAGGGAGGGGAGGGAAAGGAGGTTGGGGAGAAAAGTAGGATGAATCAACTATTGTATTTTTTTCATTTTATCTCTCTTAATTTTGGACTCCCTCAATCAAGCCCCGCTGACAAAGGGGGTTTCCATGCTTATAGTTTTTATTCAATTTCAGGAGAGATTGGTCGAAGAAATTGATTTTTTCCACAAACTCAAATTTTCGAATCCCCATAATTTTGTCAAGTTTTTAACATTTTACATAATGTGGCTTATTATTCTGTTAGAATTCATATTTGAAACATCTAAGATCTACAAGATTGGTACTTGGTAGGCAAAGATATTTGGATTAAAAATTCAGACTCAATGTGGCAAAAACTTAATTTATATTTTGTTAAAAATTGCCTTAAATGATAAAAAAAACATTCATTCATCTGATTTCCATAATGACAGAGGCGCTGCAAAAAAATTTGCTGTCTTAGCAATACAATTTTTCGGCATTCAACAAGATAAATTTTAAATTTGTTCAGATAAGTAAGCCTGCAATTACAAATAAAGTTTTGCGCTATTATTGCACATATTGCAAAATGAAAACCCTAGTTTTTACCCCCAAAGCTAGGAATATAAGGAAGGAGGAAGGGTGCAGTAAAGCTTTTGTAATTAATGTTCTTGTTAATTCTCAAATTCAAGAATTCTATAAAATTAGAACAAAATAAAACTCTAGTTACCAGGGAAACATATAATGCAATTGCATAGCTTACACTTAGAGACTAGATTATAATACATTCCACAGAGATGTCTATCATTCTATCTGTCCATCTACCTTCCTATCTACCTATTTACCTTCCTATCTACCTATATACCTTCCTATCTACCTATATACCTTCCTATCTACCTATCCACCTTCCTATTTACCTATCTTCCTATCTACCTATCTACCTATCTACCTATCTACCTTCCTATCTACCTATCTACCTTCCTATCTACCTATCTACCTTCCTATTTACCTATATCCCTTCCTATCTACCTATAGATCTTCCTATAAACCTATATACCTTCCTATCTACCTATCATCCTTCCTATCTATCTATATACATTCCTATCTTCCTATCT